TATGTCCTCTGAAGCTGAAAAAACCAGCTAGATCCGCAGCTGTCCTCCTAGATGATCTCTTGGGAGGTGTCGATCTGTCTCTCGGCCCTAATCTTTCACGTCGATCTACCTCTCTGTATTTGACTTCACTCGCTTGATCTTTAGGCACTCCTGAGTCTATAGGGTGATCAGCAAAACCTCCTTGATTCTCTGACTCAAATGTCATTTTACACTGGCGATAGTTCAATACAGCTCCAGAGGCAGCTAAGTAATCTGTGCCTAAGATTCCGTCAAAGTCGATATCAGCCACAACAACCTCTATGTTCTCTATATGGCCATCAATGTTAACCTCAAGACATGTAACACCTTTCATACGCAGTGGTTGTCCACCAGCTTGCAAGATAACTCTCTTAGGCGACTCAAGCTTGGGTCTTCTGTGTTTAGGTATATTCTGGTAGACCTTTGAACTCATGATAGTACTAGCTGCTCCAGAGTCAACTAAAAATGAAACATTGGTGTCGCAAACTGTACCATGTGCCACTATCTTCTGAGTGTCCTTGGAAGACTTAACATCATTCCCCTGCAGAGAAAGAAATTTAATGGTAGCAATCTGGCTAGATCTCTCCTGTGCTGTTTTATCTCGCTCTTCGACACGCTTCCTTGAATAACAATCAGCTATCCGGTGACCAGGCTTGTGACAATAGAAACATTTAGGTCTATTGTTCATGTTCTCCCTATTTGTAGATTCCAATCTGGTTAACTTCATCAGGTCAACCATTTTCTCCAGGTTCTTGGTGCAAGTTTCTTGCACAGCTTGTTGCATTTGTTCTATCATTTGAGCCATCTTCTGGAACACATCTTCCTTATCATCAGGAGTACTTACAGAGTTGCAGTACTCTTCCTCGGAATCGATGAAGTTCACCCTTAACTTTGGTTTTTGGCCTTTCCTTATTCGTTCTGATTCTAGAAACGACTCCTCCTTGAGGGCTACTTCTATGGCCTTATCGAGTGTAATACATTCCTTCAAGTGTATTGTTCGTCTTATATCATCATCCTGAATAGCTTGCTCAAAACTCCGTCTCGCTAGGCGATCTTGGGCTGACTGGCTCATCTCCGGATAAGCTAAGGCTGTGAGCCTGCGGATGTCCTGGCCCAATGCCGGAAGGGATTCCTTTGGTTTTCGAATTCGGCCAACTAACTCTGCCTCATAGACGTCAGCTTTACCCCCAGGGCCAAAACGCTTCTCCAGGGCTAGGAGGAGTTGATCGTAGCTATAATCATGTCCCATCTCTAGCACTATTTGTTGGGCAGGTCCTCTCAGACTTGTTGCTAAGAACCTCCTCTTCTCCTCTTCCGACCATTTATTAGCCTCCCCACAAATCTCGAAATATGCTCTGTAATCTTGCCATGGTGTAGTTCCAGAATAAACGTCAGGTTTGATTTTGCTTTTGCCGGATTGTTGAGAAGTTCTTTTTACAAGTTTATCACATATGTTGGAGCACATTTTGACAAGCTCTGCTGATAGATTTGAACCACGAAGGCTATCATCATTTTCCAATCTGTCCACTGGACCAGCTGGCTTTGGACTAGGATATCTCTTCGTTGGTGAATCCTTTGGTTGATTAAACGGCTCTTCCCTCTGGTATGGAGAAACGTTTTGGGCAGAAGTGAAATCAGCAAGGTCATCCCCTGATTTGTTCTCAATTCGACCACAACCTTCTAAATCTTCAAGTTGCTGGCTGAATTCCTGGCTATTATCCTCCATCAACTTTGTACCAAGTTTCAATGAAACTTCATCCTGCCTATGCAATTTCCAAGGCTTTGTCACATCTGAAGCCAATGGGGTAGGTGTAAAACAGTCTTCAGACCTGGTGATTGAGGTAGTTTTTGGCATTGTAGGCTGATGTTGGCTATCATCCATCAAGGAAGTCTGCATTCTGGTGACATTTCCTGCATGACGGGGGTTATCATATGATGGTGGAATACTAGCTTGAATTTTCTCCATCTGACTCTTGATACCCTGTAGTTGTGTCTGTTGTTGATCCTGACAACGTCGAACTTGCTCTGCGATCTGGGTAATGTTGTGTACTTGAGTACTTTGAGTCTCCAATACTTGCTTCATACACTTCTGTTGGGTTTCAGCCAATTTTTGCATCTGTCTTTGTTGAGCCACCAAAGATTCACTAAACATCTCAATCCTTCTCTCAATCTTGCTTTCTATTACGTTTAAGTCTGGTCTCCTTGGATCCTCTTCTCTAAACCTCCTGGTTGATCCGCCAACAGCAGAAGAAGTTAAAGGAAATCTTTGTCTTCCTTGGGGATCTCTTCTTTGAGAGATGGGGTCAAATGGCGTCTCAAGTTCTGACAGTACACCTCCTGTCAAATATCCTGTACTCGATAAACTGGGCAACCCTCTCTGCTCAGTATTAATCTCAGTCATTTTGAGTCTGGCTCCTTCTGCCAGGGTGACCTTTCCAGGGGACTGTTCCTGTTCCGCATTATCTTCTATCACTGGTGCTGTCTCATCAGCGGCTGTTGGATTATCAATTTCCATATCATCTGACTTGAAAAACACTGTTTTCTCCAGGTCCCCCTCAGTTAGGTCCTCAAAAGCTGGATGAGGTGGTAGGTCAAGTCCTTGTTCCATATTCGAATATTGTATTACTAATCAACACAATCCCACCACTGCCACCAATGTAACAACTAGCCTAATTTGGGTAGTGTGGATGGTTGTTATTTATTTTATTAGGCTAGGTCACTTCGAGGGATACTTGGTGCACATTAAATGCACGTGATGATATAGCGACACAACATCGAATATAAAATAAACACACATATATTGTTGCTTATCCAGCCCAAAAATGTATACAGAATAAATCGGTGTAAATTAAGTTGTAAAGAGACGACTTGAAAGTCCTTTGTTTATGTGAAATATCAAAGTTTATATTAAAGAGTGTCTATCTTTCTGACATCAGTTATATCTTCTAAGTTTCTGGACATCAGTTATATGAAATATTCCAAGTTTCTAGACATCAGTAGTTGAAATATTCTAAGTTTCTAGACATCAATTATATGAAATATTCCAAGTTTCCAGACATCAGTAATCGAAATATTCTAAGTTTCTGGACATCATCGGTAGGGAATATTCTATCTTTCTGACGTCGGTTTTATCTTCTAAGTTCCTGGACATCAGTTACACGAAATATTCCAAGTTTCTAGACATCAGTCGTTGAAATATTCTAAGTTTCTGGACATCAGCAATCGAAATATTCTAAGTTTCTGGACATCATTGGTCGAGAATATTCTATCTTTCTGACATCAGTTATTTCTTCTAAGTTTCTGGACATCAATTGTCGAGAATATTCTATCTTTCTGGGATGTCGTAAATATTCTAAGTTTCTGGACATCAGTTGCCGGGAATATTCTATCTTTCTGACATCAGTTGCTGGGAATATTCTATCTTTCTGGGATGTCGTAAATATTCTAAGTTTCTGGACATCAGTTACCGGGAATATTCTATCTTTCTGACATCAGTTATATCTTCTAAGTTTCTGGACATCAATTGTCGAGAATATTCTATCTTTCTGGGATGTCGTAAATATTCTAAGTTTCTGGACATCAGTTGCCGGGAATATTCTATCTTTCTGACATCAGTTGCTGGGAATATTCTATCTTTCTGGGATGTCGTAAATATTCTAAGTTTCTCAGCCTCTTAGTCCCTCGTCTGTAGATGAGACACTGACATAGGAGCTCCTTCCTCTTCAAAAGTTGTGTACGTGTCTGCTAGGAGCGATCAGTGCTCTGTATTTATACCCCAGACAGGTTTTGCACAAGAACCTAACAAGTGATTAATGGGCTGATGCAATACCTAGTCAGTCACTAGAATCCCAGGCAGGATACCACTAGTGCAAAATAAACAACCATGATGCAATGAGGAAATAACTTTTGCAAAATAAATGGCTTTGCCTAGCAATCACGATTTCTGCTGTTTAACACAAAACGAACACATATCTTGTAACGTATTAGCTAGATTAAGATATAAACTAGATAAATATAACAAAAACCAATCATCATTGGCTCTAATTATGGTGAAATTGCAAGGAAAAACGAGTAAGTGAATGTAGGTCAGCAGGAAGTGAGAAAAATGTACAGATAAAAACAAAAATAAATCTCACAGAAAATAGCAGTAAAACGACTCCCTGTACATCTAAAGTGTTCCATACCTTAATGTAAGTATAACACCTATCAACCTTGACTGGAAAACACTTTCCTACTGTCAAAACTGTCTGAACTGCTAAAAATGGTACTGGACTCGAAAAATAAAAAATTGAAAATTAAAAATTTGTTACACTACGATAGTTTAGGATTATACCGAATTGACCCCTAGTTAAATATGTTAAAGTTTAATTTATTGAACAATTTTGAGTAATAAATACTTACACTTCAACGTATTTCAATCGATATATCCGATGGCTCTCCTAAATCAATCTAAAATCATCCTGCTATTTGTAAAGAAATGACAATTGTATGGCTTGTTATCATACTACGACCTACCAACGTTATAGTCCTGGAACATTGGATAATGTCTGGCTTCTGGAAAAGTCAACCTCGATGTCAATCCGGACGTCGACCTTACGTTTGCGGGGGTGTGGAATTCGAGTCCTATAGGACTGGTTTAATAAAAGGGGATTACCCTGTTTTCTAGGTGGGAATTCCCTGAATGACGCAGTAGATGAAAAATGGGGAATACCCGTTTTGCACCCCCTACACATCGATGAACCCCCTTCCATAGGGATACGTGTTAAAGATATTTGAAACTCTCTAAATGACAACTACTTATATGCATTATTGAGCCTTGGTAATAACTTTACGCCATTTTCTAATTACCCACAATCCTTTTGCCACAAATACCAAAAGACTATGACAATGACCTTAATTCTACTTCTTCTATTTTCAATTGTATCTTTCACTACAATACACCCACTCTGTAATAAATGTAACATCAAAGAATAAATACTTACATCCTATAAATGTCGATGAAGAAGCCAAACGAGTCGTGTCGTTTCTAAAGAAGCAGTGATGAGTGCATAACCCGGATGTATTGAGTGTGGACAGGTTATAATATGGCATATTTGGGACCGACAAAAATGCTGTGCTGTTATCTACCACCGTGATATATTTAGGTGGGTATGATATACGCCCATCGAGATTCGATTCATACTGGAATGAAACACACATTACAGTTTGAGCCCATTTTCATATATCGGCTATTAACATGTGAGACACATAGTTTCTGGAGTTGTTACTTTAAAAAACATTTCTAAGATAAAATCCTGGACAGTGAAACCTCTAAAGGAGACAATCACCTTTACAAACATTATTTTTAGTTAGTTTTGAAAAATTGATAACATAAAAGACAAATTAGTTATTGACGTTATCTATAGTACAATGATTGACTAAAGCAAAGTACAAATAAGTTTACCTTTAATGATATGACATAATTAAATTAACGTCCCTTACCTGAAAGTAAATATCAGATGCAGTTTTGTTTCCTTGGTAATCCTTCAGAATTTTACATGTGAGGTTCAGATAGCCTCCCACAGCGGCACATGATCGCTGTCCAACTATGTATTTGCATGATGGGTCCCGAATGATTACTGAAAATAGAAGCACGTGGGTTTGCTCTATGAGGCACTTCAACAGATTGCACATGAATATGTTTGTTTCATGTCTATAAAATGACCTCATTTGTTTTTCGGATATGAACCGTTTCTTTGGTTGTAGAATGCCAAGGGTGTTCAATGTTCATGCAATGCACCCCGGCCTAGGCTGCTTAAGCTTAATGAAGGTCCCCTTTATCATATGGTTTATTTGTTTGTTCAATTAATTTTTTAGTATTGAAATACGAAATTAACTGATCAATAAAATACAACAATAATGAATTAAATTTAAGAATCCTTAAAAATGGGCCATCGTTATCGTAAATAATACAAATGTAGACATTTTCAGTGTTTGTGGATCTCTTATTTAACATTTTATTTCTTCCTCTTGTATATTTAATTCATCACTGCATTTCATATATTTGTAAATACGTTTTTTGGCAAATAAAGTAATTAAAAATAAACAAAAAACTACTAAATAAATTACCTCCAGGCTGTGGTGGAGGCCATTGACCACTTGCCATAACAAACATTTGTAGGACAAAGAGATTTAGAGCCAGGTCCATCATTCACCATTTTAGAGCTTTAGTCATTGTCAGCTGAATTCAAGCATATCCTGAAAAGTATCATGGTTACATTGCAAGACAATTGTATGTACATTATGTAGAATAAGAAATCGTTCTTCTCTCTAGTACTGAGGCTCCAGAATGCACTAACATACTATTTTAAAAATCACTTTTCTTGTGTTGTATGCATTATTTACATTCTTGAGTGTGTGTCAACAGTACAGTACTCTACAGTCTGCATAATAAACAACCCTATAAGTTATTGAATTATTTGAAGCGCAATACAGGATATATTCTGCTCAAGAAATTCCGTATTGGAACGAGACGAAGTCGAGTGCCAATACAGAATATCGAGAGCAGAATATATCCTGTATTGCACTTCAAATCATTCAATAACGTTTTTATCGTGTGATCCTCTGTATTGCTACTGAGAATGTCCCCTCCGTACCAATATTTTCTGTATTACGACGGAGATGATAATGGGGACAATCTTAGTAGCAAAACAGATTGGTACAGCACAAGAACTGACCAATCAGAAGGCTTTATTTTACAGATCTTAAGGTTATTACATATATCAATAGTAGATAGAGGGGGGGGGGGTGAGTAGGAATAGGGTTCCAAAGACTGGATACAGGACTGATTTAATGAGATGAATTGTAGTAATATTATTTTTGTACTTCGAAGCATTAATCATTTTATGTGTATTCTTGATTTCAAGATTACAAAACCATAATGTTTCATTTCAAAATGCACCAATATCATTACACACTCAAGGCAACTCATCACAAACTCAAGGCAACACATCACACACTCAAGGCAACACATCACACACTCAATGCAACATATCACACACTCAATGCAACACATCACACACTCAAGGCAACACATCACACACTCAAGGCAACTCATCACACACTCAAGGCAACTCATCACACACTCAAGGCAACACATCACACACTCAAGGCAACTCATCACACACTCAAGGCAACTCATCACAAACTCAAGGCAACGCATCACACACTCAAGGCAACACATCACACACTCAAGGCAACGCATCACACAATCAAGGCAACTCATCACACACTCAATGCAACACATCACACACTCAAGGCAACACATCACACACTCAAGGCAACACATCACACACTCAATGCAACACATCACACACTCAAGGCAACACATCACACACTCAAGGCAACTTATCACACACTCAAGGCAACTCATCACAAACTCAAGGCAACGCATCACACACTCAAGGCAACATATCACACACTCAAGGCAACTCATCACACACTCAAGGCAACTCATCACACACTCAAGGCAACTCATCACACACTCAATGCAACACATCACACACTCAAGGCAACACATCACACACTCAATGCAACACATCACACACTCAAGGCAACACATCACACACTCAAGGCAACACATGACACACTCAAGGCAACACATGACACACTCAAGGCAACACATCACACTCAAGGCAACACATCACACACTCAATGCAACACATCACACACTCAAGGCAACACATCACACACTTAAGGCAACACATCACATACTCAAGGCAACACATCACACACTCAAGGTAACACATCACACACTCAAGGCAACACATCACACACTCAAGGCAACACATCACACACTCAAGGTAACACATGAAATCCTTTAAAGTCTTTTTGGAATTAATCAAACACATATCTAATTATCTTTACATACCTTTTATCCAGGATGATTCATATCTGTAGAGTCTTCAGTCCGAAAGCGAAAATAACGTAATCTTTTGGTATACTCTTTGAAGCCCTTTGAAATAAAATAAGAAACATAAAATGCCATTTGTCAACACTTATCTCAAAGCTGGCGTCATATTTGAATAGTATTACAATAAATACATGTCAATAATCACAAACTACTCACTTCGACTTCGAAGAGAATCTATTTATAAATATATTATTTTTAAACTGAGAGTCTATAGCACTGATCCACTCTATGAAGGACACCCATAATTTAGTGTAAAACTCTTTTATCGTATTCAATTAGCCAACAGCTATTAAAGATTATCGAAGGTGGATGATAAATGACATATGTGGAATGAATGGGTATCCAGACTACGGGAACGGGAAGGGAATGAGATGTGAGGGTGAAGGAATGTGCGATGGAAGAAAATGAAAATGAAAGAAGGGGCCAAACAAAGGTGAGGGGATATGGTATGGGATAGCAGTTAAATGGCGAGTGTAGTCTTGAGCTGGGACGCTTGTCCTTGCCCCTCCCCCTGGGGTGGTCCCAGAATGTTTTTAGTGGGCCTTTTTGGGCATTACTTGGTCTTTAATGGGCCTTTTTAGGCGCAATTGTCAAAAAAATTCCAAGATTTGAAATTTGCCCCCCCCTAGCCTCTGGATCTGCCAGTGTAACCTTTCGTCCTAAATACAATTTTTTTAATATCGAATATCGATGAAGTGATACTCCAAGGTCCTGCCTTTGTCAATTTCATAACCTCCTGGCGTAGGAACAAGATGGACACAGATAATAAGTTAGCGTCAGACATGTCTGAATGTAGAATGTACTGTTCTATACAAGACAAACCACGTTGTATTTAATTGGATCCAAACCATTGTAGACCACAATGTTGTCCGTATGGTATTTCCTACAGTTTATCATCAACAATTCACATAAGGAAGAAATCAGCAAATGAAAAATCATTATAACGACATTTTGGCATGTGAAAAAAACTTTTTATCATATACATGCGAAGCTTCACGTTCGCATCAATTTGTTTCTATGAGACTATTGCCAATCCTTTCTCACAAGTAGAGTATCGAGGGACAAAATACTCAAATAATTTAGATTCAAAACATGAAGAATATACTGTGCAAATTACAGTTCGATTGTATCTGACTGTATCCCTTAGTATAGGCCTACCATAATAACAAACAGTAGTAGACTTACCTGTTCCGTTTTTGAGCTTATAAACCTTGTACTTTGAACATCTATAAAATAAAACAATGTGTACCTAATAGAAATAACACTTGCTGATAAAAAACCTTTTGAGAGTTTATTTTTATTATTGATGTTTAACTCGAGTCAAAGTAAGCAATTAAATTTTGACAATTCCAAAAATGTACACATAACGTTTAAGTAGCCATGGAAAAAACAGGAAAAGTTAATGATGATTATAAAAAGGCAGTCTTTATCTTAAATTTAAATATTGATTATTTCAATATATCGACGAGTTGTGTCCTCAATTTGTTCTCAAAATGGGCAAAGGACGAGGGAAAGTATCCCAACAGATTTCGGACAGTCATATTTTGGATTCAAGTTTGGCTATTTTCTGAGGATTTAAACATATGTATGTGTTAGACCAATGCATTTCCTCCAGGAAAACACTTCTAGAGATGATAAAATAATTTTGAGACAGGGAAGATGCAAACAACCCACCAACATGTTTTTTCTGAAATGTTTTCCTGATTCCAACCCCTTCCACCCTTGCTTTTTAGTTTTTCTTGCATCAATATGTTGTGTTTTGACACACAGTTAACCCCTTTAAAGGAATAAGTGATTCCTTTTTAGAAAAAGTGGAAAACAATATCTCCCATGTTATTTTCCCATAGGGAAAACTCATGCGATCCATTGCTTTCAGCTGATTTTGGTCACCCATAATGGATATCTTTAAAACTCCCGAAGGTGTGCTTAGAATATTGAAGCCTTGAGCTTTAGATCTTTATGAATAGCTTTGTATATGGATTGGCCTTGTAATGTAAAAGACAAGATTAACGCAGAATTATTATACTCATAACACTGTTCTTTATTCTTTATTAGTTGTTGAACTAATTATCATATGACACCCACTCACCCATTACCAACATAATGATTTTTACAACGTATGTCTTCTAATTGTCGTAATGAATCAAAAACGTACAAAGTATTATTTCAGGAAATACGTCACCTGAGAAGTGAAATTAGTACCATGGTAAAAACGTAGATGCTATTCGCGATGATTCGGCCCACTTGCCTGATAATTTTGTTTAAACTATTAAATACAACAGAAATTGATTGACATCGTCAAGCTATTTTGCTGTATCTAATCATACGGTTGTGCTAGCTGATTGTGCTAATTCACAGTAATTCTACTTCCTTATGGGTATTACCTCTGAGGTATCTCGCAATTTTCGCGTATGTTTAAGACGATACATGTGCTTCAGTCGTAAACTTTAGAACAGCCCGACAAGTAGTATCGTCTCAGTCGTAAAGATTAAACAAGCCCGACAAGTAGTATCGTCTCATCTCGAGGTACACCTTGATCTTCAGGTTGGGTTTGTGTAAAAAACCGGGTAACCGGGTGACCGGGTACTTAACGTTCCTAGCAGGGTTAGGATTTTTTTTATTTATAACGTTGGATCTGGACGATACATGTACGTTATTTTCGACGTCACGTTTTGAGGTTATTTCACATCGTAAGAACGTTTTGACAACGTTATCTTTTAACGTTAAAATAACGTCGGTAATGAACCGATTTAGTGAGAACATATTGACGTCTTTGTATCGTTTCCTTAACTCACAAATATTTTGAAGCCATTTCCACAATGTTGAAATTCAACCATCCATCGACATTTTGCTGAATATTTAAATAACGTCAGATCAATACGGTCCATGAACGTCATTATTGACGTCACCTTTTGAGGTTATTTCAAATCGAAAAAACGTTTCGACAACGTTAAATTTTAACGTTAACAATACGTCGGAAATGAACCGACTTCGTGAGAACACAAAGTTTTTGTCATGTTTTTTTCCACCAACAAATATTTTGATATTAAAAGCCTGTTTTGACAACGTTGAATTTTAACGTTTGAGTTACGTCACATATGGACCAATGTAGTAAAAAATCAAACGTTCCTGTTCGTTATGTTTTCCACACTAACAACAACGTTCTTTTTATACCATCACTAGATGTCTCATGTTTACGTTGCCTCGATGTGTAAAGAACGAAAATGTGCAACGTCTTCTAGGAACGTATATGCTACTTATGTGCAACGTGACATGGACGTCACTGTTTGCTGGATCGATTATTTTAAAAAGTGCTCTGTCTCGTATAGGGTAAAATATCGAACAGCAGTGCACTCGATAGGCTAAGTCTGTCAAGTCAATTCGATACTATATATCGGGGGAAATGTGGAACTTTGAAAGATGGTAACCCTGCTAGGAACGTTAGGTACCCGGTCGACCGGGTACCCGGTTACCCGGTCACCCGGTCACCCGGTTTTTTACACAAACCCCTTCAGGTTACGTGTCTAATCACGAGATGTCAATATTAACGGATTTTGAATTCAAAAGGTCAATAGACTCAATATCTTCTGCAGGTTATCCTGTCCGACTTAAACATATCAAAAAACTCTTAAAAAGATATGATAGATGGCATCATTTTCTGCTTTAAATAATTCTAGAATCAATAATTGTATAATTTCATTTGTCAATCTACCGGAGGATTATTGTTATTTAGTTATCCCATGATAAATTAGATAATGATTCTCATTGAATGGAAATCGTACCGTGTTCACTTATGGTATCACGCCCCCTAGATCTTTGAAGGTTGGTTAAAGTTTTCCGCGACTTTATATACAGGGTGTTCCATATGTTTCAGGAATGATGCTGTATTTTGTTGATCTACACTTCAATTTAGCTGAACTTTTGACAAAATGTGGCCAGATATGTTGTGAATAAGTTGTGAACGTTTTGTATCTTAAAGCTCAGTTGACTCAATATTATGGTTGCTATAGTAACCCAGGGGTAGGGTAGGTGGAGCAGGTGCGCAAACCATGAAATATTTGTAAAAATAGTCATTTTTTGTATGAAGTGTGAGTAAGTATTAGGTTATCATAGTTGCATTATTTTTGTCAGAAATTAGACAAAAATGAAGGTGGATTCCTAGGAATTAAAAAAGTGTCATCTCTGATGACTTAAAATTTGAAACAAAGGAGAATGATCAAAGGTCATTTTGGCTGAACGGCCATCTTGAAAAATGAAAATGTCATCAGCAAATCAAAAACTTACTTCCACTATTAGGGAACGCACGATCATAAAATGTGCGGGGACTCAATGATGGCAATGTCTAGAGTGTATGAGTGATACAAGCGGTTCAATTCTGGAAGGGAAACTGAGACCGATAATTCAAAATGTGGATGTCCGAGAACATTTCTGCAGACCCCGAGTATCCCAATCCTACAGGACGACTTTTCAATGGATGTCATCAATGATGAAATAATTTTTTAATTTCCAGGAATCCGCATTCATTTTTGATTAATTTTCTGTTAAATTTTATGCAACTATGACAATCTAATACTTACCCACACATCATACAAAAACTTACTATTTTTACAAATATTTCATATGATTTGCACGTTTTTACACCTGCTCCGCCTACCCTACCCCTGGATTACTATAGCAACCATATCATTAAATCTACTAAGCTTTATGATATGAAATTCTCGCAACTTACTCACAACATATTCGGACACATTTTGAAAAAAGTCAGCTAAATTGAAAAGAAAACCAATAAAATACAGCATCATTCCTGAAACATATGGAACACCCTGTACATTAAGGATATATTACTTTTGTTATTATTGCCTGTCAGTATCTTATATTAATTGTGATACTCATAATATCTTTTTGATTCATCAGAGAGGCTGAGCAGAATAGAAATATGATGGTTTATTATGTTGATCTTAAATACGGGTTTTATAACTGCATAATCTGGAGTAAAATAGTGTGCTAATATCAGGGGATAGAAACGCGTCCAGTATTTTCGTCTGTTAAAACTGGAAATACTGGACGCAGACCTCCATTTTTGATCCAGAGAGAGGTAGGTGTAATTTTACTCGGTAGTCTGTGATCGTTTTACAGTGTGTCCTTACCTAAAAACAGGCTCATCAGATTCCCAGTACATTGGGGAACATCCAATTCTTATAAAATAATAACTGTATCCATCTAGTTTTCTGTAATGTGGGGTTAAGCACAGAAATATTTTGATTTTTTCAGGAAATACACGAATCGAGTTATATTTCTTTTTATTTACCATTTCATTGACAAGATATGCAATTTTCTTGTGTATGAACTAACAATGTTCAATGAAAAATGTACTGAACGCAAGCGTGTTAATACCGGATGGCTTGCGCCCAGTACATTTTCATTTCGTCCGGTATTTCTTTAAATTTCGTCATTTTTCTATTTTCGATCATTTCAAAGCTAAGAGTTGCCGACTGGAAGCTGTATTCTTATTCCATACACAAGAAAATTGAATATCTTGTCAATGAAATGGTAAATAAAAAGAAATCTGACTGAATTCGTGTATTTCCTGGGAAAAAATCAAAGTATTTCCGTGCTTAACCCCACATTACAAAAAATCTAGATGAATGACTGTCATTTTATAAGAATTGTGTGTTCCTCAATGTACTGGGAATCTGATGAGCCTGTTTTTAGATAAGGAAACATTGTAAAACCATCAAAGGCTACCAAGTAAAATCACACGTGCACCTACCTCTCTCTGGATCGAAAATGGTGGTCTGCGTCCAGTATTTACAGTTGTACCAGACGAAAATACTGGACGCGTTTCTACCCCCTGAATATGGCGTACGAGTAAGTTAATGAATTTGGGAAAACAAAGTTCAACGATGATCCAACAAAGGTCCCGTGTGCTGTTTAAATCACTTGGCTTATGTTGTATCGGGAAAAAGTTGGAGTTTTTAAAAGCCCTTTTTGTTCGATATATTTTGAGTTTATTAAAAGAAATTCAGTTGACTTTAACACGCTTTAATAGTCTATCATAACATAATGATTTACAGGGATGCATGCGCATACGATTATTCTTGGCGTAATATAATTGTACTGAGTAGGAAAATTGTTTTAGTAGTAATGGTAAAAATATTAAGATATATACTCCCCCGTGAGCAGTCTTTTAGGAGGCAACTCCCTGTTTATGAATACATATGAAATTGAGTGATTTTGCATACATTGGTTCAAAATATAAATAATATACTTTATATTTTTATATACTTGCACATCATTTTGACAAAAACAATATTCGAGAAACCTTGGTAAGGGGTCGCCTTATTGGCCTCCCTTGATGCAAAAACCATATATACACAATCTTCGTCATTAACTGCACTATACTGTCGGATATTACGCGTCTAAGTTTTTTAGAATTGGTTAAATGTAAAACTGACTATGAGGTATTACCAACTCTTAAACAAAGAATGATATTATATTATTCATCCATACAGTGTGCCCAGGGTGGTTGCCTCCTCAAAGCTACTTATAACTATAATGCGTGTTATTGTCTCAATGACAATTTTTAAAATTGCGATAAGTGCTTTGTGATAACTTATAAAGGGGTGCAGAATCAAAATTCCATCACTTCAACCAAAGCAGCACTTCTATTAGATAGCGATCAACAATCATGGACATCTTCACTTACTTGATGTTCGCGAGTGTGATTCTTGTCTGCTCTTTGATTGAAGAGAGCAATGCTGCTGTGCTTAGAGTTAACAAAAACGTTGCCAAACTAAATCAAATCGCTGATGGCGATCTCGAAGTTGAAAGTGAATATTCTGACAATCAGGCAAAGGCTCAAGACACCAGGGAAACAGTGTCCGACCAACGTAGCAAACGTAGTGCACATTTGAACTTTAGCGCAGTGATGCCAGGACCAAGATTTCACAGACACAGGGGACACAGTCTTCGGACACATCTTAAGTCAAGACGCAACAAATCCAGGTCGTCAAATGTCCGAAGAAGAATAACAGGCGGAGGTAAAGGTACGTGGACGTGGTTACCCGCATACAAAAGATACGCCTGGTTGCCAGAAGAGAAGCCAGACAAGGACGACAGTTTCAGCAAACTTATGCGTTATGGAAAGTGAGCCCAAAGTAAAGAAGTAAGGGTACGACTAAAAGTTTCAAAAACATTAATGAAATTCACGGTTGTTCGTTATTCGCAAGATGGGACAATGAGAACAATTGTGCCGCTAACTTTTGGTGATTCTGAAACTGAAATTAACATTTAGATTCGAATGTTTGAATTGATTTAGCATACTTGAAAGCTGGCGATCATAGAAGTTGAAAATAATGTTGTATAAATGGCGTTAACTATTGAAACGACATTGTGTTCGTGATATTTCAAATCGATGTGGCGTGACGTGGACTATAAATTTATATTCAGTGCGTAAAATGTTAAAACAATGTGGCGTACGTGACTTTAATGTAGATTTTGGCGTAGATGATATGAACTTTAGTCGATGTGGCGTAAAATGGTATTCACAATAAAATTTAAAATTACGCTGTATAAAAAGCGTAAACTGATGAAGAACTAATAGCTGACCGAAATCACAAACGGTGAAAAGAAGGAATGGTGATTACCAAGAAATTTTTAATCGTTAGCAATACATACTAAGTGTCTAGTACAATGGTTTTAAAAGATGTGACATGAAATGTTGTGTTGTTGTATTTCGAAGTGTTTAAAATTGTGAAATTCAGAGTTGCTCACCGTTGATTTATCATTTTTCCAAGTACTGTAATTTTCAATGGACGGTTTGGAAGTATTTTTCAAACTTATGATAGTAAATTTGTTTACACAATGGTGATAAACTAAATAATTATTTAATCGTTAGTAATACATATACACTGTAATGAGATGGTCTGATATATCTGAATAGTTTTGAAGAATGTGACATAACATGTCATTGTTGTAAATGTTGTATTTTAAAGTGTTAAACGTTGTACAGATTGACTGAGAGATGTCACACCATTGTTTAATTACCTTTCATTGTGAACTTTCCAAAAATACTTTCTCTATGACACCGTATACAATGGTTGGTTTAATCATTCTTATCAACCAAATACGAATAGATGTATACGAGTTATTGGAAGCGCTACATTTATTATTAAAAATTATACTACTGTGAGGTTCTTTATATAATTATTCCATGTATTTGATCAGCGATGTGAATCATGAAATGTTTACATATTGGCTACAATCGACGCAATCCATCTAAACTGCTTGTATTTTACATTTCTATAATATCGTGTTTTACAGGTATCTGTGATTTGGGCAAGACACTAATTGAATCATTGTGTTTTTTCTTTTATAGTTTGCTATGTAAAATAAAAACAGGTATAATGAACAGGAACAACGATAACTTCGGTATTTACAAGACGAATTATGATAAATCACATTAAAAACTACGCAACCCAACCAAATGAGTGTCTGAATTGCGTCGAATCTGTCAAGCGTGGTTGGTCAGATAAATGACTCAGGATTCTGAATGTTGTAATAAAAAAATAAAAAAAAATAAAAAAACGCAAAAACGTAAAAATGTATATAATCATAAATTATAAACTGTTAAAATCTTCGATCAAGTTTATATGTAATCTTCACAATTATGTTAGATCTGGACACATAATAACAAACTTCTGAATATTTCAATTTTTCCAAACTTGTCTTACAGTTAAATCATTGATCATAATAACAAATTTTACACCAAGATTTATAAAAATATCATTTCAAAATTAGAAATAAAAATAGAAAAAACAAACAAACTCGTTTTTGTTATTTTCATAATGTATATTTTCATGCCCTTACTACATCTTGACATACATATGAATAACTCTTCCCATTTTTATGTGAGACAATAAGCTCTTTAATATCTTTAATATAATTGAGGGCCACTTCCCCAGTCTATTTTCTAAATTATGGCCTATTTTGAAAAATGAAGGACAAAACTAAGAATTGTTTTGTGCTGCACAGGTTTCTCCCTGACAGGTGCTTTTGCACTTCTTTTATTATTTTCTTTAATAAAAAAATCACTACATATTTCACCAATCTAGCAGACACTACAGCTTTTCCGACAATTGACAAGCATGTATCCAGGATTGATCCTGCATTCTCCTCTCCCAGCCCAAGAAGCACAATTACGGTGCTTGTCCGAACAATTACCTCCTAAAACACAATAGTACATTACACCACGTGGTATTGGGATCGATTTCAATACGCTGTGTTTGTTAAAGATAAATGAAGGCCTTGTAGTCCTTACATTTTGTCTGTAATAACTCAAACGAAGAGAACGATGGAATAATTGATCAAGCATTTTACATTTTACACATCGGCGATGGATTCTTACACACAGACACACAAACAAATAAATACCAATTTTTAATTCATCTATAAAAACCCATCGAAGACTTGTATTTTTATCCGTATATGATCATGGAAAATGGCTCCGCGCAAGTCCAATGGAAGTTGTTTTTACAATATAAGTCACAGACACAAACAACAGGCTTCTTCCAGTTTGTTTCATGAATACTGTGAATATTTACGCAAAAAAATGCCAACGGGAAAGACCAACAATTGTTACAGAAGACAGCAAGAAAAGGGAACATCTAAGTGTACACCATTCATAAGGAAAACAAACCCCAACAATCCCAAACCATAATTCAACGTGAAAAGAAACAATGTCCAATACCCTCTCATCCCATCATTCAAATTACATTATTACAGCCCAGAACCATTACCATGTAACACATTTCATACATACAGAAGCCATTACAATATATGTTGAAGAATAAATATAAATTGCTAAACCGAAAATCATTACATCAAAAATAGTTGTAGATATTTGCTGGAATTACACCTGGCGTTTTACAAAAGCTTCTTCGGTTTTAACCAGGTTTAAGAATTAGGTGTAATCACGATTGCGGTTTTACAAAAGCGCTTTTCTAAAACTCCAAGAACCCTTGTCACTAGTAAACGGCATAAGTCGTTAGGCGTTTTAAGTGTGCAGTGTAATACCGATCGGTTTTTGTAAAACGCCTTACCCGGGCTTTTACTAGTATTTAACATTTTCCCTAAACGAAATATTTGATACATTTGAAACATTTGATACATGATCAGACATCCGGTCACGCTGCTATCTGGCTATATCTAAATTGAAAAATGGATGATGGTCGCCAGGTCACATCGAAATCAAGTGTTATCTTCAGAGAATATGTACACCTTTTATTATGTTTTCTCATAATTAATAAAATATAAAAATTATGCAATGTCATGCATTTCTAATCAAATTATGGAAGATCAGTTTTGTCTTAGATGCAAAAAGAATACATTTACAGGAGATGTACATATACATGTATGCTGGATGTTATCCATAACTACATCGTTAAAAGTGCACGAAAGGCGTTTTAGAAAAAACAGGTGTAATTCCAATATATAAATCCTAAGACGCTTTAGAAATGCAGGTGTAATCAGAATGGCGATTTTGTAAAGCGTCTTCCACTAAAACGTTTTAGCGGATTTTGTGGTGTACAGTAATTCCAGCAATTATATCCACAGCGAGTGGAATTGTTTGAGACTACTTTCGATTTGCCCTTGTACAGTTGAAAGGATGATGGAGCCAATGGAATCAACTGTAATAGATTTAGTGGAAATGATTTGAACACAAAGACTGTATTAGGTCTAAGGTTCTGGATAATGGTCTTTCATCTTAGTCTTATTGGGGCTCATAAACCAATCGTAACTTCTTTTACTGATCGAATCGTGAATCCACGGTGATGAATTTTGTAAAATAACAGAGTAGCAATATCATCCGAATAATTGGCCTGGTAATTTTACATCACTTTCGATATGCTTTGTAAATATTGTTATACAGACGTGTATTTTCTAAACTTATTAATATAAGCTACAATTTATACACCGGCCTACATGCAATCTTCTCTAAAATTTTAATAACACAACAACGTTCCAGATTCTATAGATTTTGTACTATTTCAGCTTTGATTTTTTGTGAAAACACAATTTTTATAAAATCCATTGCTATGGCTACTGAAATAATTGAAGTGAAAAAGTTTTGTTGATATATTGTATATACTAAACTATACAGGGTGAGCCAAAAAAGGTAACCCAAACTTATTTTAATACTCACGATCAGTCATCCAGTAAAGGTTGAGAAAACTTGGTTCACTTTTGCTAAATATGACTCAAAACGCATACTGGATGAAGGAGTTATAATTAAGATTTGTTTGGGTTAACTTTTTTGGTTCACTCTGTATTATTTTTTTGTGATTTCGAAAAATACCATGAAGACTCCTCTTAAAGCCTGTTTACATTTGGCGATTTAAAAATGTCAAATTAAAGTCATAAACCCGACCTTGTGTTATTGATGAAAAGATCCAAACAATTTATGTAGTACATGCTTTAGCAGTCTCCTCGACGTAGAGGTAGGTAGGGATGTCAACATTTTGAAGGGGAGTTTACTCACCTGAGCTACAGGTGTTGCAACTCTTCTTACAATTGTTTTTCACATAGTGATTACTTTGACAGTAGTTTCTCCATACCCCACAGTATCGATTCTTGTCCTCACACCCTAATGTATTAGAATGAGCAACTAATAAACACAAAACAATATAATCGAGAGTGGTTATTATGATAGGCAAATTATCCTTATTGTAGAATTAAATATGGTTGATTTGTCATAATATTGGCAAGGAGGACAATAAATATATAAGCACTAGTGCCAAAGGGAAAGGACCAAAAGTTGTAATGGAATTTAGCAAGAAAAAGCAAACTCTAAGTGCATACCAGTCAAGAAAAACAAACCCCATATAGCCCAAAACCATGATCTAACGTGAAAAGAAACAATGTCTAATACCCCCTTTCCCCCACCATTTAAGAATCAATATCACAATCCAAGACCAGAAGACCAAGGGACATGTCATTCATACTGAAGTCATTACAATACATGTTGAAGAAAAAATTAGAAATTGATAGCCAATTGATAGCCAATACTCATTACCTCAAAAATTAACCACAAGTTCGATGAAGCTACATTGTTCACATCAAAACACACTGTCCAAATATAAAAAATATCACTTCCTCAATACCGTTACTTAATTTTCCTCTTCAACTCAAAAATAATACTTTTCGGATTTGATGAATCTTTGAATAATTTTGATAGATGTTGTCACATGTGAACGAATAAAACAAAAATGAACGAAATTTTTGCTCAATCAATTTGTTGTGACAATAGTTTACACATGCTCCAATCCTCCCCTAATATCATCAACGGAAAGCAAGATGTAATTTAAATTCAACAGGACATCTCAACCACACAATATCACATCACCAAACAATATAATGTATTCAATTTTGATAATTGGCAATTTGAGATAAATAGCGTCGACTGAGGGAATACGGAGGTAATTTCAGATAATTACAATCAGTTAAGTATCGGAAGCTCAATTACTTTGTAGAATAGTATACCATAATCATGACGAACATATGTGGAGAAGGCAATGAATCATCGAGTTTGTGTACAAGTACCTGTAAAAGTACACATACCTGAAGGGGGTGCTGTTGGGGGTGGACGAACTGTGCGTGGAGGATTTCTAGTAGTAATTTCTCCTCCGCCACCTCCTCCTCCGCCGCCTCCTCCCCCACCTCCCCTGCAGTTCATTTTAAGCCTCTGATTTGCTTCTGCACCTAAGTAAGAGAAATTCAAATATGATATACTCATTTAATTAATGCAATTATCTTATTGTTACCTACGATCTCGTATCAGGTCAACACTTCCGGAATGAACAAATAAGTTAGACGTCATCCATCCGCATATTACTTACTTCTACTCTTTGTGCACCTTTTGATGTAGGTGTTATCACAAGCAAAGACTTCTCGGATGATGTTATACAGGGCTGGGTCGTAATTCCTCAATGCGTTTCTGTTACTGATCGGCCCTGCTACACCATCAGGCCGGGCGACGTGGCGGTTTACGTTGTGGTAGCTCTGAACACCCTCTGCCTAGAAACACAAGAAATGGAGCATATACAGTTCAATAGTGAAAGATGTGTATTATACAAATACTCGATGATCAGGAGCTGGATGCGGCAGAATACCTATTCGAGAAAAAATATTACGTGATTATGACCCAAGTTTATTTTTGATTCTTTTTGTAAGACATACAATTGAAGTGATTTAGATTATTGTTTGTTAATGCACTTTCTTTATTACTCGTATGTTTCCCTACCCAATATTCTTGGACTGTGCTCATGGAGTACGTATTTGCCCATCTTCCAGCTGCTCTCGCGGAGTTATACAATGCAGTAAGTCGGCTGTGAAATCCGCGTATTGCAACATTTGCCCCAATAAGATGCAACGCATGTACATATTCATGAAGGTTGATATCTTGAGCCCGATAACGATCGCTGGACAAGCAAAGAGCATTTTCTTCTCCCGCTGTGGAGATTGGGAGTGCTCTTGTTGCTCCTAGACCCCTGGCACGCTGGTTCCACCAGGCTGGCAGGAAACTGTGTTCGGGAATGCTGGTGGTGCCTTCGTTGATTCCAATCAGAGCAACTCGACCACCACTCTTGTAGAAAGCGTTTCTTACATCGTATCTGTCTGCCAGCATGAATCTCAACACATAACAGGCTCTCTGAAGAGCATTGTTACTAACTCTGCTTGAACCTAAAAAATAAAACTCATCCAACCACTACTAAGTAAACTAACGAGAGTCTTTGTCATTATAATATAATTAAGAATAACATGTACTTACTGACAACTGGAATGCCATATGCTTCAGTATATTTCTGGTAAAAGGTGGACAGTCCCCGGGGAAACATATGTGCACTGCTCCGCAGGAAACTAGGCACTCCCCTGATACTGGCGCAACTGTGGGTGTTAGTCGCACTCCCAGGTCTGTTCCCGGCGTAGTCCATAGTAACGTTCGTACTGCCATCTAGAAACCATTGATCGATTAAGTTAATTTGGACAATTTTGTCCAAAATTCAAAGTTTTAAGTCATACATCACTCATCATCAAAATATCCACATGGGCAATGAGATCCCTCATCACAGCCCTTTGAACTACTCCATTTTGAAATTTTACAAGAATATTAGGTATAAGTAGATATTACAGCAGTTTTTATAATGATTCAAAATTAATTCTAGGGCAACAAAAATACGAAACAATATTACAATACCAAGAGGTAAGCCATTTCCGTAGAGTTGGTAATAGCTGGATTCATCCAACAATAAATTGTCACTATCCATCATAGGAGGAGGCGCAGAAGAAAAAACACCTAAAATAAATAATATCGGAGTTTCTGATCCAAGGCCATAAAATGCAATGTTAACTTCGAGCATAGTGTTAGTATTGTATAGCAATTAAAGCACCTTGTTGCACATGTATCAGATTAGCATACCGAGTTCTCAATGAGTTTCTATGGGAATAGTTTGGATGTTATGAGTATTGGCTATCAATTTTTCAATTTTTCTTCAACATGTATTGTAATGACTTCAGTATGAATGAAATGTCCCTTGGTGTTCTAGTCCTGGATTGTGATATTGGTTCTCGATTGGAGGGGGGGAGGGGATGTTAGACATTGTTTCTTTTCAAGTTAGATCATGGGTTTGGGATATATAGGGTCTACTTTTCTTATGACAGATTTACACTTAGAGTTTGATTTTCTTGTTGGGTTTCCTTAAAGTTTTTAGTCACTCTTCCCTTTTGGCATTTGTGCTTATATATTGAAGAACTGAATGCATTCAACAGTTGTTATGCCGAACATCAGTCGGAGGCCCTATCACACCAAACTAGTTCTCGACCGTTCTTTCCAGTCATACGTCCAGTCCCCAAAAATTCAGTAAAACGGGCTAAATTTGGCCGTGGTTGGGAAAGATGTCTGAAATAATTAGCTATTCGTTCATAAACAGTCTTCAATACGTCAATCTCATTCGCAACCAGTCCGGCAACGTTTTAGGAACACACAGTGGCAACTAGTTTTGTGTGATAGCTATATTTTGCTAACTCGTTCATGGGCAGCCTTAATACGTTCTTAATCAGTTTAAACCCGTTATACCTCGTTCTCAGAAAACTGAGCAGGCTCTAAGTTCTGGATGACCTACCATACACGTTCGAGTACGTTCATGAAGTTTATAAATAGACCTTAAACGGTTCTAAGTACGTCCAATCCGTTCATACACAGTTTAAGCCCGTTTCGAGAACTTGATGAGCACTAGATTGGTGTGATAGTAGGGTAAAGTACTTTGCATCTTCGCATGATCAGTTTTCACTGCAGAGTGAACGAAGATCTAAACGAAGGTCGTTGTCCGTTCGTATTCTAAAATTGCTCTAATGAATGAAGTGCAAATAAAAATAAGAACTTACCATTGTGTCCATGATAAAAGACCAGTAAGAGCAAGAACCTCATTTTGTCCACAGAAGCTCCAAACTGCAGAGCTATTTTATAGTTTCATACATGTATGTGCACTTGTACAAGATTAGGCACCAATGAAATAGGAAATTGATAGGATATTTACTATATGATAAACTTGGCACATTTATTGGTAATGAGACTCTAAAGATAATTTGATTGATTTTGATTTGAATTTCTATTAAGTTTGCATGGAGGGCTAATCTTCTTACAAGTAGGCCAAGTTGTAAAACTGGCGAATAGTCTTGTATTTAGTTCTTCTGACCCAGCATTTCAAACGCATGCACCTCACCTCCACCACAAGGGGACGCGGATGGACATGGATGGAGGGAGCGGGGTGGGGGATCAAAAACTTAATGGAGGTTTTGTAATTTTTTAGATTTCAAAAATTCACGATTAACAATTTGAGTGTTAGCAAATATGGACGAGTATGTATACCTTTATAAAATTCAATGTACAGACGTTGTTTTGTAAGAATTAATGTCAGTGTATCAAACTGCGTGTATATTATGGATATTATGCACGCAGGCAGTTTGGATACCGCACCGTGATATGGAAATGAAGATGAGAAGAAAGTAGTGAAAAGAACTTAAAACATACTTTTGCAAATGGTTACGTGGATTTCAGGACGGAAGCACGAGTACTAGACGTTTATCAACAATAAACACATCGCCGTCTTTAGATGCAGTGTGTTCGACATCAAACACGACATCACGGGTGTCAATCATGCGACATTTGTCAGAATAAGTCTACAGAAGAGCGATGCAACGTAAAACAGTTTTGTCTTACAAAGTTAATTACATTAGATACTATTATTATATACCCCATATGTATTCTAGATGCTAATTGGCTTATTCATGTTCACATGATATGAAATAGATGAACTAATTCAATGAAAGGTTCCAAATCCCTGCTATCGGGGAAGATGAAATGTACTAATCAACAGTCATTAGTATGTTTTATCTTCCCTGATAGCTGAGATTATAGGAGTTGAAAGGCAAAATACCTTTAAATGCCAATAAGAACCTGTCAACATTAAATGTTGAAATGAAAAAACTATTTTGTTTTTGTTTAAAGAGTACATATGGGGTATATAATAAAACAAATAGTGACTGCCACTATTTGTATTCTATTTTATAATAAAACATGAACTTGTTTGTAATTAGCAAAAAGTCACATAATCACGTAAGTCGACACATTGATATTTTATTTTAGATACTTATCATGTTTATAAATACATATTGATTACTATATACAAGTACATGATCTTCAAAGGTGAAGAGACAACAAATTAATTATACAGGCCAACGAGTTTATTGGGTTACCTTAACCTATCAAGGGCTGAATAGGGTCTCAGAGAGGTTGGACTAAGTTCATATAGTGTATTCATAAACAAGCACAGTAAAAAAAGTTGGTCTCTTGGACTTCGTTTTTGATAATCTAAAAATGACATTCTGATACTCATAGCCTCTTTCTGTTTCACCTGACATCTCAGGCCTGAGAAGAGATGAGGTGTCATGGTTTACCATGATGTAAAAATGACAGCATCTTTGGATAGCGCTTTTCAAAATGTCTTATATTTTACAAATTTTAATGTTGATACTAAGCAGACACGTGAACATATTCTCCATTGTCTTCCGCTACACTAAAACACTTCTTCCCTTGAATGGTTTCGGTATTTCGTAAATGAAAGGAGTAAAATCACATCAGGAAGCTCTCGAGAGCTTAGGAAATGTCCGCTTGTGTTAGTTGATTGTCCTCTGAAAATATTGTAATTACACAACTGGACAACAAGTAGTTTCAACTGCAAAACTGTGATTTTACCCCACAAAACACATCTTACCAAGATGAAGCTATCAACAACCTACGTAATGTTGTTATTTTGCCTTTTAAAGGTCATGTTACACGATTGTCAAATGACGCAGTAAGAGTTGCAAGTCAATTGGCCGCGAAAAATCCCAAGAGTCCCACGAGGTCCAACGCAATGTTAAGTCTATGGAGGTCCCAACTTGCCCCATTGGTGTATACCGGGCTTAAGTGATACTTGGGGCGAAAACTCATTAAAATATTACACAATTCACTAGCACCGCGGGCATACAAAAATACAGCCCAAATGATTCAATCACTGAACTGGTACACTCTTTGCAAAGTTAGATAAAATTAGCCTTAAATCATGCAATAATAGGCTCAATGTAATAGTGAACCACTCTTTTTGAGACCAGGGTTTTGATTTTATTTACAAAATCGTATTTAGCGGCAAACTGATAAACTCTCAATGCGCCATCTTAGTCTCGGGTGGTGACGTGAAAAGTTGTTCTGAAGCTAACATCAGTATTGTCCTGAAAACAGGCACTTGCTGACTTTATACCACGATATCATAACTTCGGAATGACCTTAGTAAAGTAATGTTGCATGCTCGAAATCGAGTAAAGCCTCTTTAAGACCACTTTAACAGATACAATCAGTGCACATGCGTTGAATAGTTTCCAACTTATTGAACAATCCATACCTCCACATGTCCATCATTAGGCAATAAATCAAAATTGTCATGTTTTTTAACGTTTAGTCATGTGACTTCATTCTATAAAATAGCATTAATTCTTGGAATATCCCGAAATAAAGTTAATATTTTTATATTCCAGGGCATTTAAGAATCAATTTTTCGTTTGGCGAGCATGTATGCGTCTCGTCTATGATCTGAAGTTTTGGACAGATGAAGATTGCAGGTGTTATTGCGTTGCACGACCTATCGCCAGTCTTAATAGTTTGACCTGCTTCACTTGTGATAGTGCTTTCTAAGGTACTCAATGTACATCCCTTTGATCTACAAAGCCGAAACTGTTGACAAAATGTTCCTGCTTCCGACACACCCCACTGTTTGTTGCAGACTGGTTCATATGTAGATGTCTGGGTGTCTAAGTTAAGTATTGTGCAATCAGCATCGATCTTGTAGAAATACTTTGTTACTGGCTTGTTGTTGGAGTCAAGAGGCTGACAACCTGAAACACATACAAATACACCATGACAAGGAAATACAAAATAATATGAAGCAAAACAATGAAATGCAATGCAATATAATACAAAGAGGTTGTTGCACGAGTCCTGTATAAGAATATCCATTTTGATTAGCTTTGATAAATTCTGCAAAAGAAGAAAGGATACTCTCTAATAATGGAGTAAATGAGAGTATTACTGACTCTCCAATAACCATGGTATTCCTTCAAAGGAAAGGTATCGATATGGTGAACTGAATTCAACAATGTTTTTCTCTTAAACCAATTATTGAAAATATTCTGTAAAGAAACACGGTCCTTTATGTAATGTTGACCGATTGGCAAACATTTGATTAAAAAATTATCTATATATATATTTTATATAACTGTTTTTGTTAACATTTTTTGTTTTTTAGTGCAATTGTTTTTTGTTCCTTGTATATGAATATTTCAAATTATAATGTTACCATCCAAAAGATGACCATTAAATTGACGATGTGTAAACTTTTCAGAATGTTTTGATGACTGATTTAAGAGAAACGCGTGTTCAAAAAGTTCACCATATCGATACCACTCATTTATCAAATATCAAATGTTGAATGGGTATTACCGTTTGGAAGTAAGCACCTTCATAATTGCAGTATCAACTATTCACAGTTCATTCACTATACTGGTAATTTCACTTGTTTTGACGTAATCAATGGTCAACTACAGTCTTACAAGAAATATTGTAGCAATTTTATGAGGAAGAGTTCGTTATTGATTTTTTAAATGTTGATCAGCATTTCCCAAAATGATATATTAGTTGAGGGGGGAGAGAACAGACTTATTTGGCGCCCTTTATTGTTTTAATAAAGTGCCCATATCCCATTTTACCTAGTACAAAGGATATGTATTGATATGGTGAACTGAATTCAAGAATGTTTTTCTCTTAAATCAATTATTGAAAACATTCTGTAAAAAACACGGTCCTTTAACTGTTTTCCTGCTTTCATTTGTTAAAGCCGACCAAATCGGGGAACTGTGAAGTAAGGCAGGTTCTATCATGGACTTATATATTGTTGAACCATATTCAATACGTTTCACATTACAATGCTTAGTGAGGGTCGATGCTGTGTAATTAATCATCTTACGTGCTTTCTCATGTAAGAATTTATTAATATGGAATGAATCTTTAAGGTTACTATGGAACATATATCAAACTGATTCAAACTGAAAAACAGCGCACCAAATGTCTACATTCACGAGGACCTGTCAAAACATGTACGAGAAATCCGTAAAAAGCTGCTACCAACACTAAAGAAGGCCAAAGAGGAAAACAAAAAGGCCACATTTAACTACGACAAACTAGTGATAGATGGCGAATATTTTGCATATGATGAAAAGAAATCGGAAGTTATCAAGTTGAATAAAAACAGATAGGGACATGGCCAAGGCCCGAAACAAACAAACCAAACAATATTGACTATATTACAATGGAATGCACATGGTCTATCACAACATACAAATAAAGGGGAACTACTTGAACGTTTCAAATCATATGACATTATAAATATCTGTGAAACTTGGGCAAAAACGAATCATGATTTTGACGATTTACTTGATACGCATAAATGCTTTGGTCTTAGCAGACCTAAAACTAAATCAAGAGGCAGATACCATGGAGGGATATGTGTATTCGTTCGTAAATCACTATTAGATGGGATCAAACATGTATGTCATAACCTAAAAGAATCTATAGCCTTTAAACTAAGTAAACATTACTTCGGATTAGATAAAGATATTGGATTATTGTGCATATATGTAGCTCCAGAAAGATCTTCACTTTATAACCATGAAGAGGACGGAATATCTCTATTGGAAACAAAAATCATCCATTTGTTGGAGAAAGTGCCAGAATGTGACATATTATTAAGCGGTGATACAAACTGTAGAACTGCACAATTGCGAGACTATATCACATCAGACACAGCAGAGAATATCCCTTTTCCTGAACTATATAACCTTGACAACTTTCAAAAACCAAGAGCAAACCGTGACACAGTAGATAACCAGTATGGCAGATCTCTTATTGATATATGTAAAACATTTGGCATTCACATCGTAAATGGAAGAACAAAGGGTGACCCAGAAGGAGAATTCACATGTACATCAAATGATGGACTCAGCCAAGTAGATCTCACATTAGCACCAGATTCATTATTTGATAAAATTGAAAATTTTTCTGTACTAACAATTGACGAATCTGACCATTACCCAACACTCCTGCAGTTCAACATTAATATCATCCATGAACAGCAACAAGACATTAACCGAAACCCGCAAATAATAAAAACCGATTCCTATAAATGGAAACATGATAAAGAACCAACATTTCAGAGAACCATGTGTGATGATGAAACAAAAGCTCTCCTGCAGAACTTTTCACGTCTGATAAATGATGGCAACATCAATGAAAGTATAAATGTCCTGAACAATATATACACAAGAGCAGGTGCAAGCATGAATGCTGTGTTAAATGCGAGATAAATGTAAATATAGAGCAAGATATCCATACTATTAAACATGTAAAAGGAATTACAAATTTTTTTCCATGTACAAAGGGTATATTTCAAGGAGATTCACTCAGCCCAACGTGGTTCATTATGTATGTAAACTCATTTTTTAACATGCTGAGGGAACAAAACTGCCAAGGAATCCATATTGTAGAAGGTTCCCCTAATATAATGGCATTGTGTTATGTGGATGACTTAAATTGTATAGGTAACACTGTACCAAATGTGCAAAAACAACTTGATACCTTAGGTAGCTTTTCACGTAAATGGGGAATGAAAGTAAATTTATCCAAAACAAATGTGATGGTGTTCAGGAATGGTGGTCCCCTCAGGCAAAATGAAAAATTTTATTTTGAAGGAGCAGAGATAGAACAAATATCATATTATAAATATCTAGGTATACTATTTTCCACAAGACTCTCCTGGTCTCCAGCTAAAAGTCAGCTTGCTTCACAAGCAAAGAAATCTATTATTTTACTCAAACAACTTAACCAAAAGTGTGGAAGAATACCACTTAAACTTATGTTCTCTCTGTTTGATGCCATGGTAACACCCATCTTGTGCTATGGTTCAGAGATGTGGGGATATGAATGGTGTAATGTAATTGAATGTACACAAGCTCAATTTTGTAAATATTATATAGGTGTGGGACCACAATCAAATGATGCAGCAGCATTAGGCGAATGTGGCAGACTTCCACTTTGTACCACTTATATGCTTAAAACCATAAAATACTGGATAAAATTAACAGAAATGCCTAATCATAGACATCCTAAATCATGCTATACAATGCTTTATCAACTAGATCAATCGGGAAAAACAACTTGGGCATCAAAAATCAAATATTTGCTTTTTTCACTGGGATTTGGACATGCATGGTTTGAGCAAAGTGTAGGGAACCAATTATATTTTATTTTTATATTTAAGCAAAGACTTCAGGATATGTACAGCCAAGCTTGGCTAGGGAAACTCAGGGAAAGCCCCAAATTATATACATATATGCAATTTAAAAATATTTTAGAGCCTGAATTTTATTTATTATGTAATTTAGAATATAGATGTATTAAAGCTCTAGCAAAATTTAGAGTTTCGAACCACTGTTTTGAAATTGAAACGGGAAGACACCGTAATATTGTAAGAGACAATAGAATGTGTAAATAGTGTACCATAATAATAGAGGATGAGTACCATGTAATGTGTAAGTGTCCTAGATACCATAATATTAGATTAAGTCTTGACATTACCTTTGTAGAAAACTATAGCACAGATCAATTCATCCAATTGATGAAAACAAAAAATGCTATCCTCCTAAAGAAGTTATCACTATTAATTATTGAAGCAACCAATATTAAACTATTGTAAACATACTATGTACACAATGGGCCAGAGGCCTTATATGAAATAAAATCTTATTATTATTAAAATATATCCAAGGTATTTATATTCCCTGACTTCACTTAGTTTTAAGTCGCCTAGTTTCCATACCCTGTCAGTGTCAACCCTTTTCCCTATAATCATGACTTTTGACTTCTTACTGCTAAATTTAAATCCCCATTTTATGCCAAAATTATTAACTTTACATAACAACTCTTTTAATCCATTCTCATCTTTTGCTAAAAGAACAATGTCATCTGCGAATAATAATGTGGGGATGTGGGACCCTTCAAATGGAATGCCAAGACCTGTGGACATTAAAGATTCTTCCAAATCAGACATAACTACTGAAAATAGTGTAGGTGAGAGAATACACCCTTGTTTAACACCTGTGTTAGAATCAAACTGATCAGTAGAAATATTACCAAACAGGACACTGCTATGGACATTGGAGTAAAGGTGTTTTAACGTTCTCCAAAGTTTACCCTGGATTCCTCGTTCCCAAAGCTTTATGAAGAGCATATCCCTGTCTAGTACATCAAAGGCCTTCGAGATATCAATAAATGACAAATACGTTTTCAACCTATTTGTTTTTCTCATACTACATAATCCTTTCAATGTGAATATGTGGTTTTCTAAGCGCTTACCCTTTTGAAAGGCACCTTGTAAGTGTCCAAGAAGGTTATGACTTTGAAAATAAGACATAATTTTAGATTCTAAGATGCTGGAAAATACTTTGTATACATTTGATGTAATGGTTATTCCTCGATAGTTATCAAGAATTTCACGGTCATTATCTTTATGAAGGGGTTTGAGAATACCATATTTCCATTCATCAGGAATTGTTTCATGTATTTTTATCAGTCTAAAGAGGTCAAAAAGGGGCTTGATGAGAAAATCTTTAGCCTGCTTAAAAAACTCATTGGGGATTTGGTCAATACCTGAAGCTTTGCCATTATTGAGACCAGAAATTATATTTCTAATATCATCCATCTCAAATATCATATCTGTTAGAGCATCCCCTGAAATATCATTAGCTGCTTCTAATAGTCTTACCTTTTCAGCCAGGCCATTAATTTGAAACTTCGGATTTTTACTTTTCATTCCTAGATTTTTCCAACACTCCAAAATGGTGGCTTGAACCTTTTTAGGGTCAGTGATCAGAATTTCAGGACTATTTGGGTCTTTAATTTGTATAGGATAGTTGCTTTTCTTGTTAAATTTAGTAAGTGTTTTCCAGAAGCCTTTTGAAGATTTAGACTTACATTTTGCATTTAGTGTGATAACTTTAATATGGTTAGCTACATGGTTGTCTTGAATCTTTTTACGTACTTGCCGTTTTAAATCAATATAGTTTTCCCAGAGCTCTTGAAGAACATTTGGGTCAGAGGACTTCGATTTGGACCAATATCTATGGAACTTATTGGCTTCTTTTCTATTCTTAATCAGTTGCTTAATGTCATTGTCCCAAAAGCTTCTGCAGTTTGCATTAACAGTTTTCATCCCCACCGATTCATTTCCCGCCTTAATTACCCTTTCTTTCCAAGAGACCCACATACTTTCAACCTCATTAAACTGAACCCCATCCCAATCAGAGAATTCTTTCTTTATACAGCTTCTGAAACAGGACCAATCAGTAGAGTCATCAATAGCCCACTTACTATAAGCAGGAGATTTCGACTTTTGGACTGGTTCCTTCATAGTTTGTTTATCAGACGATATGTTGATACACAAAACATTATGATCACTCCCAATTGAGTAATCTTTATTCTCATCGACCAACATCTGGTCAAACATAGACAGGAATTTATCATTGGCTAATGCATAATCTAATGTTGAAGACAGGTTATTTCGGGACCAGGTAATCCTACCTTGGCACTGAGGCAAGTTATTCAACACTGTGCATCCTAATCCGTCACAAAAATCATCCAATAGATCACCGTTAGGACTTTTGACACCCTGGTTCCTAAAAGCCTTGATTTTCCCATTAAAATCACCCAGGATCAAATAAGTATCATTAGACTTAAGGTTTGAAACATTAAAATTTAACTCATCAAACATTTCACTGGCAAGGGGCATATCTATCCCATCACAGGGGAAATAAGCAACACATACATACATTGAGATACGTTTCTTTTTAAGGCGTATCCAATACCTTTCAAAATTATCAACCTTGGAATTAAAAACATTATCATTAGAGATTGCAATATCATTCTTCAGAAAGAAACCTATTCCCCCACCCATCTTACCTTTCCTGTTTTTACCATACCATGAATAATCGGAACTGGAAATAGTAAGTGGGTAAGTGGACTCATTTAAAAATGATTCAGATATTGCAAATAGATCAAATTTGTTATCTTCGAGCATTGTTTTCAACTCAATTTGCTTAGCGAGACCAAGTCTTTGTACGTTATTGAACCCTATTTTGAGTGACAGATTAAAATGTTTCATTTGTTTACCACGCATATGAGTCCTTTTACTTTGATTATTAAATGTTCTGTGATGATGCATAGGGGGTAAGGCCAGACCATGACCTAAGACCTATTTGCCTCCATTGGAGGAAGAAGGGCACCTGGATTCCTTGTGTCCAAGCTGGTTACAGCCGTAACATCGGACAGATGAGGGGTGCCAGCAAGTACTGGCCAAGTGAGAAGATTCGCCACATTTAAAGCAGGTAGGGTTTGAGTCATTGGTATTGGCATGATAATTGTCCCTATGGCGATGACTTGGGATGGACTTTTGTGGTCTGCTGCTCCTGGTGCTTTTTGTTGGGACAGTTTGCCATTCCCCATCGTCCTGGGGTGTAGGGGGATTATGGGCATCAGTGTTAACTCTAGGGGACTGACGGCGGTGTTGGTATGGTTTAGTGATGTCTTGCTGATGACTGGCTTTAACTGAAAGTTTCATGTTTCTAGCGAGACTATTTGAGCCAGCTTTAGATAGGTGGAGACCCCTAGCGTCAAGGAATCCATTGTTGATTGTGTTGTTTTTTCTAAATGATTCATCATTATTGATGAATGTGAGGGAGGGATCCTTCTGGCACAGTTCACTTAGCTCAGCATTTACCCCCTCTATAATGGATTGAACAGGGGGTTTGTCAGTACGGGGTGTGACACTGGATACATAAATATCATTGCAAAGGTTCTTGGCGCGGCTCCAATTAGCATGGTATTATATTCGTCAGTGATGCCCTTGACAGTGGCATCCTTTTCTGCGGCATCATTACTGGCAATTTGGAAAATAATCCTGTCATATTGTTTATCTAGGTTGGTAATGTGTTTGTGGGCATCCTTGATCTTCCCTCCACGAATACATTCAACATCAGTATTGACCAGTTTATCACTGTCGAAGTCCCTAACAATAGAGCTGCCTACCACAAGAGTGCCCTTTTTGGAATTTGATGAGTCAGATTTACATGCAATCAGTTGCTTACGTAAGTACACATTTTCATCGTCCAGTTCCTTAAAAGCCACTGTTTTGGCCGCTAGTTGTGATACAAGATCAGTGTTGGTGATTTGCATGGCATGTAAGTCATCCTTCATCGATTTCATTCTGTCCTTGAGATCATCAATGGAGGATTTCATATCCGTCATCATAGAAGTTAAAAGTTGAAGCATCGGGTACATATTTTTAAACTGAGTAAGTGTCATAACTAACTGATTGACTCAAAATAGATCAGCATACCTAATAAAAGTAATCTAGTTTACACATTTTATAAATGAGTAATAAGGTTTTGTAACTGACCTTTGAATAACAAGCTCCATTGACGGTGACTCCAGTTGCCACAGAGTGAACCAGATAACTGTGTCGCACTCTTGCTCCACCTACCCTGTTGTCACGTTGCTATGGTAACCAGACACCTATGTTGCTGGTCAAATTTATTGCTTATTAAAGCCAAAATGAAACTAATATATATGGGGTGGTTGTGGCCAAATATGAACAATATTCATAAAGTATTAAGATTTTTAGAGTAAACGGTTCGGAACTTTTGGATCAACCCTCGTATATATATATTTCAAATTATAATGTTACCAACCAAAAGATGTCCATTAAATTGACGATGTGTAAAAGTTTCAGAATGTTTTGATGACTGGTTTAAGAGAAACGCGTGTTCAAAAAGTTCACCATATCGATACCACTCCTTTGCCACAAAATAATGATTTTTTATAATAAATAATGTGTTTTACCGAGCAGGATTATTATTTAAACTTCAAAACAGAATATTATAATTGAATTGATACTAAAGCTAGTTTAAAAGCTTGTTTTATCAATCTCTGTTGGATATATTGACTAATACTAAGCTACATGTACCCCTATCTCATTTTTCAAATTATAAATATTTCAAAAACGTTATTGCCACTAATGAGTTACAAAAGTTCCTATGAGAGTTAAATGATGTATGGAGTATATACACTCCCCTCCATAAGTTTGGCAACCTTAGCTCCCTCATTGAACTACGTGTTAAAGCTTCTTAACGTTTTTATTTACATAACCTGTGAAGAAAATACTGATTATATTGATGGAATGTAACTTGACTTCATTACCAATGCCTCCAAATTTTCCTAATTTTTCCCTCAATTACAATAGGTCGAAAATTTATGATAAAGATGAAATTTTAAAAATCGTCATCTCCATGTAAACCAATGGGATATGCTGGGTTCGGGGCAAATCTTATTTCAGGATATCAATCCGGTAAAAGATTCTCCCAAAAATATTTTCATATAGAAAATTGAATTTAACTTTTTTGTACGCTAAGTGTTCAGTTTAAATATATGAATACTAAAGTTACAGAGCTTTAAAGTCATTTTTAAAAACTATTTTTCGCCTCCTGTGTTATTACAATTGGAGGAGTTTTTTGAAAAAATAATTTTGACTTTGACGACCTATAATTTTTTAAACCTGAAAAAAACGTATCAATTTTTTATTAAATAAAGTAGCAAATTCAATCGACTACCCAACTTGTATTTTTTGCAAGAACTCGGATGGATGAATATTCTGTCATATTTATTTATTTATTTCGACTTACACTTTTAAAATAGTGGCTCACATTCATACATAGTATGGAAGGAGCGTCGACATTCATTAAGAAATTATGTGCATATAAAAACCTAAAATTTACTAAAATGATGGTTATCATGGTGATCATGATAATTATGACTTGACATAATTTTCGACCTATTCAAGGCATTGGAAATGAAGTCAAATTACATTTGTATCAATATTACACGTATTATATAACCTCGCAGGTTATGTAAATAAAAATTCAAACGTAAAGAGGCTTAACACGTAGTTCAATGAGGGAGCTAAGGTTGCCAAACTTCTGGAGGGGATGTACAATAAATAGACTGAAATTGACTTGTAGGAGACCACTTGATTTGTAAAAATTGACTGGTGACAGGTTGTGAATTAGGGCTCAAAAGTGCCGAGTCGGCACATATCATCATTCCTGAGTCCGAGTTTGACAATATGTTGGAAACTATTCAATATCAAAATATTAGAGGGAGCAAACATTTTGATTACATCATATCATGTTAAAAGAATGATTAACTCGATCCATGTACCAAGAAAATGTAACTATTAGAAATTAGAGAACAGCAACTCCACAGAGTAAAGTACTTAAGTAAACATGTTTTGATAAATAGCGGCCATGTTGAAAAGATTTTCTTGAACAAAGCTCCTTTGTCCCTGGAATAACCAGCATATAAATTTTGAATGTTTTTTTAATGAAAAATGGTGGCTTTTTGAAAATTTCTTCTCGAGCAATGCTTTATCCTTTAATCCTTGGCATCAGCATATAACATTTGAACCAAATCCGTCAATTTGTATTTGGCTTATCAAAGATTACATTTTTAGGACAAATTGTGTCTATTATGATATATATTATGTGGCGACCATTTTGAAAATATCTTCTTGAGCAGAGCTCATTTACCTCTAAGCATCAGCATATAAAATTTGAACAAAATCCATTAACTTGTATTTTAACTTGTATTATCAAAGATTGTTTCTTACGAAAAATGGTGGCCATTTTGAAATTAAGTGGCAATTTTGAAAATTTCTTCTAGAGCAAAGCCGCCCCTAGGCATAAACATACAAATTTTGAACCAAATATGTCAACTGGTATGTGAAAAAGATCACAAAGGATTGGTATCGATATGGAGAACTGAATTCAACAATGTTTTTCTCTTAAAACAATTATTGAAAACATTCTGTAAAAAACACGGTCCTTTATGTAATGTTGACTGATTGACAACAATTTAATGCGAAAATAATTTATATATATTTTATACAACTGTTTTTGTTAACATTTTTTGTTTTTCGTGCAATTGTTTAATTTTGTTCCTTCTTACCATTTTTTTGAGAATGAAATAAAATATCTTTCCGAAGCTTGTTTGAACAAAATAGCATATACAACATTTTCTTAGACTTCCCAATATTATAGTTGTACAAAGGAAATTTTGGTTGATTTAACAAAAGGTATTCAAAAAATTAAAACAAAAACCCCCGAAATAGATAAAAACTAAGATGACCCTTTAATTTCATTAACAAGATCCTTTTTTAAGTCAACCAAACTTTCCTTTGTATAATTACAATATTGAGAGACATAAGCACGTTGTGTTTATGCCATTTTGTTCCAATAAAGTTTGGATAGATGTTTCATTTCTTTCCGGACATATGATACCAAGAACAAAAGAAGTGTGAAAACAATATAGAGAAAATTATATACATCCTTTAATACCCATCCTTTAAGAAAAATGACAGCCATTTTCAATTGAGCAGCCATATTGAACATTCCTTCCCGAGCAGAGGTTCTTTCACCATGAGTACTTTCTGGGCATAAATACAGTGGTTTTTTATTAAAACAATATGTTTTCTTTAAGTTAAGTCCCCATGATGATAAAAATATCAATAAAACAATTCGAAAAATTATGAATAGGGACCCCATGTCAACAATTTTTTCAAAATGTTGAACCTATTTACTCAAAAGAGGATCTTCTTATCTGATTTTCATTGCATGAAAAGATTATTCAACAATGGGTGTTAAACTTCTTTTACAAATAGTGCTTCTTAACTAAATAACTCTTGACTACATGTAACTGGTCTAGTGTAGTCACTGCTGACCAGACCGGCTACAAGCAGTCCCCTAATCTAGTATCTTTGATACTGTATATCTGAGGCCCGGGTATACAGTCAGGCTGGGTCTCAGCTGTATATCTTAGCCTAGAAGATCCATAACTGAATTTATTGTTGATGGTTATGTTATTGTTGTTACGATGTGTTGGTTGGGAGAAATTACAAAATTGCATGACCCTACGAAGTATATTCCCGCAGAGCATTCTTGTTCCTTGTTCATTGACGAAGTTATCTTTGTAGAGATGAGGTTTCGGTTGGCCATTTAGTCCTAGATTGTCATTGGGACAGCATGTGACGTCGTTATCGTGAAATAGAACTTCAAACTTGTTTGCAATAGATTTTTGTCCATTTTGGGTTGCCTTTTTTCGGTGGTGGTAATGACACTATAAAATTATTTAAAACAAGTGGCCCCCAAACTTCTCAAAACCCTTGCCATATCCTTCATTCCTTACCTAGATGCTGTTACACAAAAATACTGAAAAGTATCACTTATTCGTGAAAATGCTGAATGCAACACAATACAATACAATTCAATGTAATATATCACACAAGGGAATAAATAAAGGTTATTTACTGGGAGGGATTGAATATGGGTTTTATTCCGAGGGACAATATGATATTGACCGAAGGGTAATATGATATTGACCGAGGGAGCGCAGCGACCGAGTGTCAATATGATATTTCCCAAGGTCAGTATCATATTTTCCGAGGAATAAAACCCATATTTAATCTCGACCAGAAATAACCTAGTATTTATTCCATAAAACATTCATCTAAAATGTTACATTTGGATAATGCTTTTATCAATTATATAAAGCCAAGGTTAAAAATAACCGGAAACCAAAAATAGGTTAATACGTTCCAATACGATTTTTCCCGGGAACAATACGATTTTTCCATGTAATACGCTCCAATACGATTTTTTCCCGGGGACAATACGATTTTTTCATGTAATACTATTCAATACGATTTTTATTCCTTCATATTTCCCTGGGAAAACAGTAGTATTATGGAATAAAGTACGGTCAATATCATATTACCCTGGAATAAACTTCATATTGAAAATAAACAATGAAATGACATAATGCAAAGCTATAATGTATTGGCATGTATCAGTGCAAGGTTTTTAATTAATGAATTCCAATTAATATGTATGGAGGGTGGAGACACTTTACAAAGCAGTATTATCGACAATTCACATTCGAATGATATAATCATAAATATTACATTATAATATGGTTATGTGAAATGTAGTTTTGCGTTGATAACCTCTATATTTTTGCGATTAAAGTCAAGAGCCAACTTTTGTGGATTTACGAAAGCATTCATTAGTAAAGAACACGGCTTACATGTAAAACAATCCTCTGTCTCTTCCAGGTTTTCCTCACATGATTCTGCAAGGCACTCCCTTTGTCTTTGACGAGTTCCTTTGTGACATGATTGACTGCATGGACTCCAATCAGTCCACTCGGAGTAAGTACATTCAACAGGATTCCGACGACAAGCAACCTCTATTAAATAAACGTGACCTTGACATTGTTAATACCAATATTGTTGAATTTGAAAAGTTTTATGCTGACCTTCTTTCTGGACACTATATCTTCAACCTGGGTTAAGATACCGTTAATTGACTGCAAAAGGCTAAGACTAAAACCATATTCGTAAGTTTAAAAGAAAAATTTGGGAGTATAGTGCGATAATCGCTGAAACAAAGAAAATGACTAGATCTTGACTTCGGCCTACATCATTTGAGAATGAATACCCTCTCTCTTTTATATCTAGTATTTGGTAAATAAATCGAGGTTTCGTTTCGATAGGGTAAGTGCTAATCTATCAGGAAACATTTCCAAGTTTGGTTAGAAACAGAATTTCTAGAGATGGCAAATTGATTTTGAGACTATGTAGAGCAGAATAGTATTCTGAATAAGGTAGCTCTTTGGTGGAAGCTCTTTCCAGGTTCATTTATCTCAAAATCCATGTGGTCACGGTATCAGTATCTTGTAATGGCAAGCTAAAAAGACTCTAATGCATACTGGGAACTGTTTCATTGATCTAGAACCGTGCCCGGTAATACGTTATGGGATGAAATGTTATGATGGTCCTCCATGGAATTTTCTACCCCAGACCATGACCCATCATATATTTTATTCGTCGTTTATTCTTCAAACCAGAATTATTTATAACCTTGACAAACAGACCAATTGAGGCCTAGCCTGGAATTTAGGCAAAGCAAAATTGAAATATAAGCAATATACTAGGTCGATCCAGAAGTTCTGATAAAAATGGTCTTACTTAAAAGCTGAGACTAACAGCTTAAAAGTTTATCATCCGTTTTCCACAATATTTTCAATGTGACTGGGTCATTTATTCCCTCATAGGATATGAAAAATTTAGATGCTGGTAATGAATATTTCTGAAGTTATGGTTGCTATGGTAACCTCAATAACGCTATAGCGTGAAAGGGTAAAATTTGTGAAGTTTAAAATTGGATTTCTTTTGAACAAATGATCGAAACCCCATTACAAGGCTACGTAATTCTACAAATGTCTGTTTTAACAATAACTGCTGTTAACATCCTCTTCTCATAAGTGTGAAGTCATTATAAATCCTGTTTGATACAGAAAACATGAACGCTTCATGATACATTAGACAAGACATGAGACACTAAGCTTTCAGTTCAACTACGTAAAGCAATTCAGAAAAAAGCGACCGAACAGAGCCAAAGATTCAATCATGTTTGCCTCGGATAACACATCATGTCACAAATCTGGCATTGTCTGCAATATCATCAGCAACAAGTCTAATATGTAGGTATTAGGACAGAAGGATATTAGGGCATTCTCCATACATCCCAGATAATGCCCCCTGGACTTTGATTGGACCCCTGTTTGGACTTTGGACCGGCCCTAAAGAGGGGGATCCGAGTGTCTCATAATTAAGAACATTTGTTGAAATCAAGAATGCTGTTGATACCTCAATAGAACTGAAAAGGTGTGAACAAAAAGTGAATGGATAGATACCAGGGTGTATTAATGTAGCGCATTTATGCCAGAGGACATTATTTTGAGTATCTTTGTTGAGTTTTACCTCAAATAGGACTGCACATTTGGATTTAGTTTTTCAGATTTTCAATATGAGTTATGAAGTCAATATGAGCTCAAATCCTGGACCAAGTGCCCATACAATGGGGTAGGAAAAGTAAGATTACAGAAAGCTCTATCAATTAATCATTCTGAAAATTCCCTGCTGTATAGCCATATTAGGCGATCAGCCTGGGAAGTTGGTCGGTACCAAATCAGGGGAATAATGGCCATGGTCATTTTGGGAAGGTGTACACCCCTAGAGTAAGAAAATATGTGATAGCATTGCAGAAGTGGCAGCATTTTTCAAAATGGCCGCCGGTGCGCTTGCTACCAAATGAAAGAAGTTATATCTAAGCATACTGAGAGGCAAAATCAGTAATTTTAGGGTCTAATTCTGGGTTTTAGGGGTCACTGATTCGATTTATGCCTAAATCCAAGTCATCAAAACATAAATTCATACGAAAATCCAAGATGACCACCAATTTTGGTTCAAAAACAAATATGTAACTAATGATACAAGCTAAAACGTTTCAAAATGATTTTGAAGAGTTTTAGAAGAGGTTTTCAAGTCTAAGGATTTTATTCATGTGTAAATCTATGTCATCAAAGGATTACCTTATATGTAAATCCAAGATGGCCGCCAAAATAGGTGCCAAAAAGGATATGTAACTACATGTATTGATACATGCTCAAAGAACAGATAAAAAGCAATTTTATAGATCATGAAAGGGTTTAGAGGTTAATGATTTCACGTATGCTTCATTTTAGTCTAAGTAATCAAATAATTACTTTTCATAGAAAACCAAAATGGCCGCCAATATGGGTGCCAAACGAACATTTAACTATTAACGTAAGCTCAATTGCAAAGAATAGCTAAAATGTAGTTTTAAAGATCATGAAAGGGTTTGGGGATCAATGATTTTATTGTCTTAGTTTTCAAAGAATAACTTGATGTGGAAATCCAAGATGGCTGCCAAAATGAATAAGTTACTATTAATATAAGCTCAATGAACAATTACAAAGTGATTTTGGAGACCATGTCTAGGTTTCAATGGTCGAGAATTTTAAGTCAATGGCTAGGTTTCAATGGTTGAGAACTTTAAGTGATCAAATAATTCTTTTATTTGGATATTCAGGATGGCAACCAAAATGGCTGCCAAAATGAATAATTAATTTTGGAACATATTCATTTGGATATCAAAGATGGCCCTGGTGTGATGTACCATCTCAATTGTACTCTCTTCATCAAAACAATGAACTGGTTTATGAAACCAGAAGAGTCCTAATATGGAGGTCTCAAAGGGAATGATGATACAAGACATCCTTCTTGCCGAGCCTTTATGGACATCATTAATATTATGACCAAGTCATTCCCTGGAGTATAACGGATTTTAAGCTGCTTGGAGAAGATGAGATGTATGTTAAGTGCAATCCCAGGAATCTTTTCAACTGAGTGGTATACAAAAGAATATCCTTTGCATTCATTCGACTTCACTTCTGAAAAGAGAGCTTCATCTCTAGTTTAACTAGACTCTGCGAGCAGGGTAACAAATGAAGCTAATGTGCAATTTTTCATACTATCCATGATGAGAGAATTGAATATATTTTGATAAAATATGTTGATGGGTCCCAACAACAGCATCTGTGAGAACTAGAAAAGTGGATGAAAGCTATTGACCTTAGCAATGTAGGGAGTTGGTACATAGAGATTATCCTATATGCGGTTCAGGATATTGGGATTATCCCGAGGCCAATATAATATATCTGCCCGAGGGTCTGTAAAAAAGGACAAACTCAATCCAAGTCTACAATTACACAGAAGATAATATCTTGGATGGACTGAAGAGTGCCGAGTATGAAGACCTCATTGACAAAGTAAGGTGTGGAAGGTGAGACACTTTCCAGTGCATGTAGGATTTAGAGGCTTCCAATGTTCTTCTAGGAACATCATGTTGAGAGAACTAGGTCTGTAGCCTGTGAACTTTAAGATGGAAATAAAGGAAATAGGTTAGATGGTTGAGGCATGCTCCATGTAAATGTGGTAATTTATTTTGGCAGCCAGTTTGGTGACCATTTTGGATTTTAATATGAGTAAAGGCTAGTAAATTGAAACCATTTTCTCCGGAAACCCAGTCTCAGATATCTGTGACATAACTATTCTAATTTTTCTATGTACTTATATGTAAATTCATTTTTGCAGCCATTTTGGCAGCCATTTTAGATTTCTATATAAAGGTATTCTTTAATCACTTCAATTTACACATGAATGGAATCCTTAACCTCTAAAACCTTACCATTGTCTGCAAAAGCAACCGTTTTTTGAGTTTAAATAAATAGTTACGTATTCATTTTGACATCCATTTTGGATTTCTATGTAAAGTAGTTCTTTGATTTCTTAGATTTAGAGACAAATAAAATCCCTAGCCTCTAAAATCTTTTCATGGTCTCCAAAGTCACTTTTTTAACCGTTCTTTGAGCTTTTTGAACTTATATCAATAGTGACATATATGTTTTGACATCCATTTTGGCGGCCATCTTGGATTTCCAATTCTTTGATGACTTAGATTTTGAATTTAATGAAATCCTTGACTCCTAAAACCCTAAAACCTCAAAATAGACCTCAAAATCACTGTTTTTGTCTCTCAGTATGCTTAGATATAACTTCTTTTATTTGGTAGTAAGTGCACCGGCGGCCATTTTAAGAAATGGGTGATAACACCCATTTAGCTGCCACTCCTGCAATGCTATCATATAATTTCTTACTCTAGAGGTATTTACCTTGCCAAAAATCACAATGAGGCTTATTCCCCTAACTTGGTACCAATAACCTTTTTGGGGTGAGGCTGATGGCCTTATATAAATCATGTAATTTGTGTAAAAATTTCGTCATCTTCTGAATCGGCCTTTGTATAATAGACATCAAACATTAATACATTATAAAGGGTGACACAAAAATGCCACCCACTAATTGTTTGTGTCACCCTGTACCTCATTTCATAGCTCCATTTTAGAGGAATGCCTATAATAATATATTCTACTGTAAACCTTGCCTGCCTCTTCCTTTAGTTAACCTACTAAAAGTGCATCACACCTTTCTTTATGTATTGCAATATTTCAGCGACTCCCCTCTCAAGTCCTTCCATCTTCCCTTTCAGAGCATTCACTTCAGTTTTAATTCCATTGACATTTGCCTTGATTACTAGGATGTCGCTTTTGAGACAACATTTCTTCTTTGTCTTTCTAGCTTCCAACACAGATGTACCTGTTAGATGACAATGTCGTCGGTCAGATGTTAGAGAAAATATAACACTATTATCATGGTTATATGATACATTCTTTAAACCGTGTTAGATACTCGGTCGAGTGAGTAAAAATATATTCAAAACGTTATTCTATGAAAAGCACTTACTGAATACAATGAATGTAACATTGATAATCAACACAATTCTCTTTATTTCCATATTTTTCCGTCTTGTCTAATGATGAAAGAAGCCTCCAATAAATCATTATCAATAAATTGTACAATAATCATGAAGCTTCGTGACGTTCCATTTGTCATGCGATGTTTATGCAAAATGGGATTAAAATATGCGCTTTATTTGTTACTTGCTATCTACCCACTCGAGTGGAACAGAGTATCCAATCAAATATCTAGATATTGACCTTTGACTTTGGAATGACCTTGGCCCACAAACGTTGACTTTGACCTCAGGTCACCTAATCCAAGGTCGCCAAGGGTCACAGCAGCACTATATTGCCCATTGCAAATAATATCCTTTGTTATTTATCCTCGGTATTTACTTTAAGCAGATCATGTGCATCTCATTGTGAACTACACTTACCTTGTCTGCTTATTCCTACAGTAGGATAGCTCATTCTCTCTTCATAAATTGCATCTCATAAATTATCTCAGTGTTCGTCTCTGTCCAAAAGCTTTTTATCACACTTTGAAAAAGTGCTATATTGTCGTCGTCTTGTGCTGTTGGGCGGGCGTGCGGGCGGGCGTGCGGGCGTGCGGGCGGGCGGCACATAAACCAAATCTTGTCATCAAATGTCCAGGATAACTGCTTACCTGTTCAACTTGAAATTTTTACAGATGCAAGAGCAGACTATTGCCAAGATTTGATTAGGTTTTGGGTATGCTGGCTGAATTACATGGTGGCCATTTTGAATCTTTCAATTTGGCGGCCATTTTGAATTTTTCAACTTGCTCCAAATTGACCCAATTTTTTTTTAAAAACATCTACAAGTTCTCAGAAGTTCAAATCTGACCTTAGATTTCAGATTTGACCTTTCATTCACCTTCAGTGACCTTGAAAAGGTAAAAAAAGTTGATTTTCTAAATTGATATTTTGGATTTAAATTTAGGTCAGCTTAATTACAAAACACCTACTGAGGTCTGAAAAAGTGAAATTTTCAAGGTCGAAGGTCAAGGTCATTAAACTAGGTCACAAATGATGTTATCCAAGTTTCTCAAAGTTTGAGACTACAAATCAATTCTTGTCATCAAAATTCCAAGAAAACCGCTAACCTGTTCAACTTGAAATTTTTACACATGCAAGAGCAGACTAGTGCCAAGATCTGATTAGGTTTAGGGCATGCTGGGTAAACTACGTGGCGGCCATTTTGAATTTTTCAACAAATCTTGTCATCAAAATTCCAGGAAAACCACTTATCCGTTCAACTTGAAATTTTTACAGATGCAAGAGCAGACTATTGCCAAGATTTGATTAGGTTTTGGGTATGCTGGCTGAATTACATGGTGGCCATTTTGAATTTTTCAATTTGGCGGCCATTTTGAATTTTTCAACTTGCTCCAAATTGATCAATTTTTTTTTTAAAAACATCTACAAGTTCTCAGAAATTCAAATCTGACCTTAGATTTCAGATTTGACCTTTCATTCACCTTCAGTGACCTTGAAAAGGTAAAAAAAGTTGATTTTCTAAATTGATATTTTGGATTTAAATTTAGGTCAGCTTAATTACAAAACACCTACTGAGGTCTGAAAAAGTGAAATTTTCAAGGTCGAAGGTCAAGGTCATTAAACTAGGTCACAAATGATGTTATCCAAGTTTCTCAAAGTTTGAGACTACAAATCAATTCTTGTCATCAAAATTCCAAGAAAACCGCTAACCTGTTCAACTTGAAATTTTTACACATGCAATAGCAGACTAGTGCCAAGATCTGATTAGGTTTAGGGCATGCTGGGTAAACTACGTGGCGGCCATTTTTAATTTTTCAACAAATCTTGTCATCAAAATTCCAGGAAAACCACTTATCCGTTCAACTTGAAATTTTTACAGATGCAAGAGCAGACTATTGCCAAGATTTGATTAGGTTTTGGGTATGCTGGCTGAATTACATGGTGGCCATTTTGAATTTTTCAATTTGGCGGTCATTTTGAATTTTTCAACTTGCTCCAAATTGACCAAATCTTTTTTAAAAACATCTACAAGTTCTCAGAAGTTCAAATCTGACCTTAGATTTCAGATTTGACCTTTCGTTGACCTTCAGTGACCTTGAAAAGGTCAAAAAGTTGATTTTCTAAATTGATATTTTGGATTTAAATTTAGGTCAGCTTAATTACAAAACACCTACTGAGGTCTGAAAAAGTGAAATTTTCAAGGTCGAAGGTAATCAAATTAGGTCACAAACGATGTTATCTAAATTTTCCCAAAGTTCAAGACTACAAATAAATTCTTGTCATCAAAATTGCAGGAAAACCGCTAACCTTGTCAACTTGAAATGTTTACAGATGCAAGAGCAGACTAGTGCCAAGGTCTGATTAGGTTTTGGCCATGCTGGGTAAATTGCATGGTGGCCAGTTTGCTCTTCAAAGTGCGATATTTATCACTGTGTGTCTTGTCTTGCAACCAGATCGTGGATTATCTTCAACAGTGACCATGCCTTCCTCAAATTTACAATACTTCCTATATAACACATAATGTCCATTCAACTTGTCCATGTATGTCTCTTATGGTTTTCTATAGAACATAACTTCTAATATGGTACTCTTAATGTATCTGTTAATGCAACACTCTGCATCAGCCACACTAACCTCATCTGACATTTTGGTTTTTGGTTGTCTCATGACACGTTCTGCCAATTGGCCTATTCTGTCATACATTGCTATTTTGAGCTGTTGTGATGGTATAGTGTGCACAAATAAACATTTTTAGAAACAGACAACGAGCAATCATACCAAACATTTTTTGAGAAAAATGTAAGATTTCTGCACGATTCAAAATAATCAAAATGACAAATTGTTATGATATTTTATAGGTTAAGATTTAACTGACCTGCCTACCCTTAATACAGGTTACCATGGCAACCTTATCTCTAAGTTAATTTAAGATATAGTTATAATATTTTAGCATTGTATGTGGAATTACATGGTGTATATGTTATGAAAAATTAGAGGAATATATGAAAAAATCATAAAATGAGAGCATTTGTATCAAAATATATGGATCGCCCCTTATATAGTGTGCTTTATTGTTTCAATTGCCTAATGGAGTCTCCTGTACATAACCGGGGGTTTAGTGCAAAGTAAGCACTCCCCAATGTGATTAAGTTCAAAATCAGAAGAAGTGAGTAGCTCCCATAATTCTTTCATATTCTACCGTATTCGGGGATTCCCCATTACGTCATCTCCTGCTTGATCTCCAATCAAATTGCAGGATGCAATCACTTGAACAAGCATGAGCACGTGCTCTCTAAAATTTGAAATCTTGGAAATGGCGATAACATCAGTTCAATATCATCATTTTAAACCTACGGTGATACTATTAAAGTAATTACACGATCCAAACTTGTACAGAATACTCATAAAACTACAGCGAACATTACGAGATTCAGTTCAATGGCAAATGAGGCCTGTTTATAAAATTTCTTTTCGAACGTGCCAATATGAAAGGTCATCTTTGGGAAATCCCCCTGGTTCAAAATGAGCAATCCCCTTTGGGAATGTGTCATGACACACCACGATCTTCCCTGATAGCTGAGATTTTAGGAGTTAGGCAAAATACCTTTGAATGCCAATAAGAACCTGTCAACATTAAATGTTGAAATGAAAAGACTTCTCATTTTGTTTTTATTTACGGAGTACATATGGGGTATATAATAAAACAAATAGTGACTGCCACTATTTGTATACTATATAATAATAAAACATGAACTTGTTTGTAATTAGCAAAAAGTCACATAATCACGTAAGTCGACACATAGATATTTTATTTTATGTTTATAAATACATATTGATTACTATATACAAGTACATGATCTTCAAAGGTGAAGAGACAACAAATTAATTATACAGGCCAACGAGTTTATTGGGTCAGCTTAACCTATCAAGGGCTGAATTGGGTCTCAGAGAGGTTGGACTAAGTTCATATAGTATATTCATAAACAAGCACAGTAAAAAAGGTTGGTCTCTTGGACTTCGTTTTTGATAATCTACAAATGACATTCTGATACTCATAGCCTCTTTCTGTTTCACCTGACATCTCAGGCCTGAGAAGAGATGAGGTGTCATGGTTTACCATGATTACATCCTTTCACTCTGGATAGCGCTTTTTAAAATGTCTTATATTTTACAAATTTTAATGTTGATACTAAGCAGACACGTCAACATATCCTCCATTGTCTTCCGCTGGAGAAATCATTCAGCCAGGTATAATGCTCACTGGATTAATATGTAGAATCGAGGGTGTAGAATGTACACTCAAACACTTCTTCCCTTGCATGGTTTCGGTATTTCGTAAATGAAAGGAGTAAACTCACATCATGTCGGAAGCTCTCGAGAGCTTAGGAAATGTCCGCTTGTGTTAGTTGATTGTCCTCTGAAAATATTGTAATTACACAACTGGACAACAAGTAGTTTCAACTGCAAAACTGTGATTTTACCCCACAAAACACATCTTAACAAGATGAAGCTATCAACAACCTTTTAAAGGTTACACGATTGTCAAATGACGCTGCAAGAGTTGCAAGTCAATTTGCCGCGATCGTCTGTACTGTAAGGTGACAAGTAACAAAGAGCAAATTAAGGCTAGATATAATACATATGCATCAATACCACATTTGCACGCATTAAAATATTGTCGAGTTGGGAAAATTCTTTTAGTTTATCAGAATTCAATCAAAAAATAATTTCGATGGAAAAGTCACTGCAAAATTATGTACAAGAGATTGATCGAAATACATGTACTTGCCCCATCGAATTCTACCGAGTCCCATGGAACCTCATGGGACTCGTTGGGGCAAAATCCAACGACTCCATGGGGCAAAATCCCAAGAGTCCCACGAGGTCCCACGAGGTCCCACGCAATGTTAAGTCTATGGAGGTCCCAACTTGCCCCATTGGTGTATACCGGGCTTAAGTGATACTTGGGGCGAAAACTCATTAAAATATTACACAATTCACTAGCACCGCGGGCATACAAAAATACAGCCTAAATGATTCAATCACTGAACTGGTACACTCTTTGCAAAGTTGACAAAATTAGCATTAAATCATGCAATAATAGGCTCAATGTAATAGTGAACCACTCTTTTTGAGACCAGGGTTTTGATTTTATTTACAAAATCGTATTTAGCGGCAAACTGATAAACTCTCGATGCGCCATCTTAGTCTCGGGTGGTGACGTGAAAAGTTGTTCTGAAGCTAACATCAGTATTGTCCTGAAAACAGGCACTTGCTGACTTTATACCACGATATCATAAAGAATGACATTAGTAAAGTAATGTTGCATGATCGAAACCGAGAAAAGCCTCTTTCAGTCGAAATGTTGAGGCATGCGCAGACCTCTATTTAGTGATATTTTCATTTCAAATATGGCGGCCAATCCGATGTCTGACGACCCTTACAAAGAATCTAGGCAGTTTGCATTTTTACCTCCTGTGAAATAACAAGTGGAATTTAATAGTTGTTTTGTGTTTTATTATCATTCTGCATCGTAATTCTATGTGATGTGGTGTTGAAATGTCAGCAGAAATACATATCCATACGATAATCGAGTGAATCAGATAACAGATTTTTCGAAAGCCCGTCTCGTGCTAAGAGTGTAAAAACTTGTATTAACATGCTCAAAAGTGCCAATGTGCACATCAATGTCAAGCTAAATCAATGTTGTGTCTAAAACAGGTACCCGATCTACTCAAAACAGCTTGTCATTCACGTATACACGCTTAGTAAACACGGCGAAATGACCTGAATCTTGGAATTTCGTTCGAGAAGTAATGTTTGCTCCGGTCTTCGTCATAAGTGTTCTTCAGACTTCACGCATGCGCAGGAGAAAAACCATCAACCAATAAGGTCTATAAATCAATTTTGCGCATGCGCCTTACAACGGTAAAGAAATTCGTATTCATAAACGAACCAGTTTAAGATAACCCGATATCATTCAGAGAAATCTGACGATCTACGAAACTCACTTTAAAAAATCAAATGCGGACTGACGGCGTATTCTACTATGTTTGGATCTAAGATTTTCAGTATAGATAAAGTCTTTTATGATCTTTCGAATGAGGTAAGTCTCTAGTTCGAAAGACAATCGTATCAACTTGAACAAAAGTTGAGTTTTGACGAAAAATTTTAACATGCGCAGAAGTCCCATTTTCGTTGTACCATATTGACTGCTTTAGGACCAATTTAACAGATACAACCAGTGCGCATGCGTTGAATAGTTTCCAACTTATTGAACAATCCATACCTCCACATGTCCATAGGCAATACATCAAAATTGTCATGTTTCTTAACGTTTAGTCATGTGACTTCATTCTATAAAATAAAGTTAATATTTTTATATTCCAGGGCATTTAAGAATCAGTTTTTCGTTTGGCGAGCATGTATGTGTCTCGTCTATGATTTGAAGTTTTGGACATATGAAGATTGCAGGTGTGATTGCGTTGCACGACCTATCGCCAGTCTTAATAGTTTGACCTGCTTCACTTGTGATAGTGCTTTCTAAGGTACTCAATGTACATCCAGTTGATCTACAGAGCTGAAACTGTTGACAAAATGTTCCCGCTTCCGACATACCCCACTGTTTGTTGCAGACGGGCACATATGTAGATGTCTGGACGTCTAAGTTAAGTATTGTACAGTCAGTATCGATCTTGTAGAAATACTTAGTTACTGGCTGGTTGTTGGAGTCAAGAGGCTGACAACCTGAAACACATACAAATACACTATGACAAGGAAATACAAAATAATAGAAAGCAATACAATAAAATGCAATGCAATGCAAAAGAATACGTAGAGGTGACGTGTCCTGTACAAGAATATCCATATCACATCAGCTTTCATAGATGCTGTAAAAGAAGCATGGATATTCTTAGCAATAGTATTTTATGTTGCCATGTTGTGCATGCCATAAATGATCTCACACGAGTAATTTTATCTTACAATGTACAATGCACTTCAATGCAATGCAACGCAATACAATACAATGCAAAAGCGAATGCATAATTTGGTATTTCTTCTCTCTTCGCTCTGATTTTCATTTTCATGATCGTTCCAAGGTCGGGTCAATACAATTTTATAAGCCTAATAAGGTCAATTTACTTGTATAAGCATAATAAGGTCAATGCGCTTTTATAAGCCCAATAAGGTCAATATACTTGTATAAGCCTAATAGAGAAGGTTTGAGACAAATTATGCAAGGCAGTTCCGTTCACATTCATATACTGAACAATCATAAAACACAGACTACGAAATACTTCATTGCAGTTATGTGAAATCGAGTTTAGCGTTAATATCCTATTAATTGTTGAAACGAAAGTCAAAAGAGACCAGACTTGAATCCATAAGTTTTGAACTTATGAAAGATCATCTGAAACAAAGAACATGGCTTACATGTAAAACAATCCTCTGTCTCTTCCAGGTTTTCCTCACATGATTCTGCAAGGCACTCCCTTTGTCTTTGACGAGTTCCTTTATGACATGATTGACTGCACGGACTCCAATCAGTCCACTCGGAGTAAGTACATTCTGGTCGTGTGCAGCCTGCCGATTCAACAGCATTCCCGGGACAGTCGGAGGCGACCTCTGACGAACATGACCTTGACCTTGTTTTACTACCAGATCCACACGTTGCACTACATTCAGACCACTCGTTCCATTCCAGCCAACAATCTTTCAGGTGACATTCCTTAGTTTCCTCACTTCTGCCGTCGCAGCCATCTTGAATTGTACACTCCCTAGTCCTTGTCATGTTTCCGTAGCCACATGGTTTGCTGCACTCGGAGTATTCATTCCATGGTAACCACTCTGCGCATATGCCCTCATCGCATGCCCTAGTCTCAGTGCTTTTACCCTCACAGCCTCCAATTGTGTTGCATTCCCGGGACCTAGTCTGTAGACCTTCTCCACATGAACTGCTGCAAGAACTCCATTCCGTCCATTCTTCCCATGATGGGCATGGCTGAAATATGATTGATTGGATCAGTGACTTAGCCAGGAAGGAAAGATTTCTAAATCTGTCAATAAACGATGGAAACATGTAAGCATAAATTGATGATTTAAGATTAAAAATCGATAAAAATAACAAAATTGATTTACAACTCATAATTGATTATATGAATATTTTGAAAATATGCTAAAAAGCCTCATCCTGGCTTCGCTAGAGGTTATTATTAATAATTCACACATAGCTAGACAGGATGTGTCCGATTCCAGCCAATCCGAACACAGTATTTCACATAACTGCAGTTATATCACCAATCTACGCATTCAAAATCACTTGTTAAACAGTTGTCAAGGTGACAGGTTGACTCTCCAGATTGAAATTGATACTTTGCAAACTCGACCCTTGCAAAACGTTTCATTGAAAATATGTTCGTTCAATGGAATGATTCAGCACACATTGGACTGAGTCCAGAGCTTAAATCCCTAAGTAATACAACAACGACGATTCATCTTCTTTGAGCACGACAGACCCGTAACCATCGGGGTTCGAGCGCCCCACTCCGGCCATGCAATGAATGAAAAGTAATTTGGGGTCGTTTCACGATACGGTCAATGTCCGTAGCGTATTAAATAGATCATTATGTTAGAGCGCGAGTCTCTTTACTTTTAGTACGTCCCTCGTAAGTTTTACGTTATGTTAACGTTTATGTGACCTAGCATGACAAAGCGTGTTTAAGTAGTACTCATGCTCTTGAATCTTC